TAATGCCTTGGAGGTGTTAAGGTAAGTGTTCACCTTCTTATTACAGCTGCTCTATCTCTGATACATATATGAGGGGGGTCTGGGTTGACATTTGATCCATCCTGAATATAGTTACTAGAGTAAAATTTCAGTCCCTGCTGGAAATTGAATCCCAATTGCCCAGCTAATAGCATGTCATTTTACACTTTGCCCCATCATCTCCAAATTACTAAAGATACTGAATTCACCATTATAGTTTCTGCTTCTGTTGCATTACTGAATATCACTTATTGTACAGGAATTGTAAATTGTGTATGAATTAAATATTCTTCAATAAATGCAGCATTGTGCGCAACTGACTGTAGTCTGAGCTGTTGACAACATCCTTAATTGAATCACAAATAAATTAAATAAATATATGCACTTAGTGACATTACTCACCAGTAAAAATTGAGCCAAGAAGTAAATGACTGATCTTACATTTTCTGCTATGATTATATAACCAATCATATGTTAGTTCTGGAACAATAGTTGAATGCTATTCTTACAATGTGGTTCCAGAACACAGAGGAGTTGCTGAAGAGGGAGGCAAACCTCACAGATGTAGGAAGCACCGAGGATACGTCACAGACTGACTCGGAAGTGAGTAGTGTGCTGTCCGCATACAAAAGCGAGGGAGACCCTGAAGTGTATGTAGGTGCTTATACAGAGCTGAAGAGATTTGTTGAGGGAGCACTGGATATTTACAAGGTAATGAAATTTTGTTAAGACTTGGTAGCTAATATGGAAAGGGAACAGTCAGATGTAGAATTTTGCTTTACCATCTTGACTTCTTTTGTCACCTCTTGGCCTTACCATGTGCCCCTTATAAAAAACTTCTTATCACCTTTTTTCCTCAACTACCAGCTCCTTACCAATTGAATATTCACTCATTGTCCCTCTCTGCCAATCAGATCCATCATATCCCACTCTCTACCTACTGCGTACCCTCTTAAAAGGCTTCCAAAAATTGCCTAACCAACATATTCACCTTGAGTTGGCTGCTACATTACTTACCAAAATATTGGATAGCTTTCAACATTTATAATAGCTCACATCTGAAAGCCAATGTTTTACATATGTAAAATTTCCATAACGTTGATCTGTAAATATGGACGGTACTTAGTATATCTCAGGCAGGAATGTGACTGAGTGTCTCACTGTGAGTTGAGTGGCTTGCATTAAAACTCGCAGTGCGGTTAGAGATGTGTGTCTTCTTAGCACTGTGTACAGAATAACACTGGTGTGACCTGGCCTCCTGTACAGAGGATGATATTGCTAATTCTTTCCCAAGCGTGAAGTTGCGGAGCTTGAAGCTGTCCAGCTACATGTAGGGTCGCAGTCTGTAATGCATATATCTTTTCCTACATAACTCCATTGTATATGTTGCAGCATGAGCTAGGTATGATCCTTTATCCAGTGTTTGTGCATATGTATCTGGAACTAGTTTATAATGGCCATGAAGAGCAGGCGATACAACTCATGGAGCGATTTGGCCCTGATCAGGAAGAATATTACCAAGCTGACCTCAAGCGATTGTCACACGTAACAAAGAAGGACCACATGAAGGGCAATGAACTCACAGATACATTCAAGTAAGTAACATTATTTTGAAATCATCTGTTTCTTCTTTCATTCAGCAGAAGTGTGCAGATATGATGTAAAAATTATCCTGGAAATCTATCTGTTAGTAGCTTAACCCGGTAATGGGTCATTGCCGCCTCCTTTCGGAGGTTTCTTAGTCTTTGAAGCGTGCATTTATGCGTATTGAGTGACAAGCCCACTGACTGCACAATTTCTACTCAATCCTGATTTGACTGTCAGAGCCATCTAGCAGTGAATCAGGAGAGACTTGGATCAGAAATTGGCTGCTGAATTATCCTTAGGAAACATCTCATATCATGCTTGCAAGGTTCTCTTAAATGCTCTAAATCTACGACATGGGACCACCGGCTTTACTTCCCCTTCAAAGGATGTTGTGCTATGGATTTTTATCACCCTTAAAAATCTGTCAACCTCGGCCGGGATCAAACCTGCGAACCTTGGGTCCAGTGGCGAGCACGCTAATCACTAGTCCACTGAGGGCGACAATCCTGGAAATAGAATTCATTTTTATTATAGTTCCAAAAGACTCCTATTGTTAAGCTGCTTCTCTGTCCAGCTGTCTGTCATTTGGTTTGACTACAGGTTCCGGTATTATATGAACTGCTGAGCATTGTTTTTGGAATTCTCTACAAACTTCCTACCAGTGGAGACCTAACATAATTACTCTAAAGATTGTGATTTGGGAGCAGCTCTGTCCAATTTAGGTTCTTAAGTTCTTGTGGCAGTAGGTCTGAGTTAAACAGATAATATAAAATTAGGCAAATCTACAAAGATGGTATTGTGTGATGAAATTAACCAGTGTATCACCGTAGTATGACCTATGATATTTGTTTTTTTTTAAGTAAATATGGAAGGGTCATTCCGCAAAAAAGTGTTACCAAAAAGTGACAGGAAAATGTGTAAGATGGTTACCTAGGAAATATCAACAATTTGTAAATATGGACTGACAACAATGGTCAGCTTGCAAGCATTGATATGTTACCTAGGAAACGTCATCTGTTTACTCGGCATTGTTGTGTTACATTACTGCTGTCAACAACCCGCTTTCATTATTGCGACAAGAGCTGAGCTGTGAATCGCTTGTAGAAGAAGTGCGTCGTAGACTAGATAATTTTGTGCTTGTAAAAACGTTTTACAATATCACAAGTACTTATCTTATATAAGAATTATTAAGAAATCTATTGTTCCGTTAGTTGTATAGATATGGTGTTTGCACGATATGTTGATACTCTAAAATGTACAAATTTTATAACATATTTCAGCTACCACAGACCCATCTTAAGCGTAACCAATTCAAGGTGGGCAGCACTGTCTTACTCAAACTTTAATCAATTGTAAAGCATGTATAAAGAAAATATTTAGAATAAAGCCACTATATAAACTCCTTACTGTATAGACGTATTTACGTCAAATTCTCCTGAACCGTGGTTCCACTGTAACTTTTTCTTTCTTTCTTTCGACTGGTTTGATGTGATTCTCCATTTTCACCTATCTTGTGCCAATCTCTTCATTTTCACATATTTTTTGCAACCCACATCCTCAAAAATCTGCGTCACATATTCCAATCTTTGTCCCCCCCTACAATTCTTCCCTTCAACTGTTCCTTCCATTACCATATTAACCAATCCTGGGTGCCTCAGAATATGTCCCACCATCCTATCTATTCTTCTCTTAAGATTTTTCCAGAGACTTATTATGACATATTAAAAACACAACACATAGAACATGTACCACTTTAAATTTTCATGGTTGTGAGATTCTTTTGCTATGTTTACAATATCAGAAATTAGGTTATTATGAGGGTAATTATAAAAGAAATTGCAAATTGCATTTAATATAAGAATTAGTACAGACCTACAAACTGTATTATTTTTTTTAACATAATTTCCATGGGTATGCTGTTGGGTCACTTAAACACTTACATCATTGGTTCATATCCCACTTGAAGCATGGCTATACAGAGAGGTCCAGGGTTTAAAAAAACATTAAGGCTATTTTATTTCCCTGATTACAATAGTTTGTGAAAGAGGTATCTTTCAGCATTCAGGAATATAATTTTACACCAGTGTAACAGCTTCTGCAATACATTGGCATTCACATTCTGTGTGATTTCTGGAATAACATTATGAAAATCAGTCTGTAATGCCTCCAGAGTGTGTGAATTATTTCTGTAGGCTTTATGTTCCCAGTTTGCCCCTAGGTAAAAATTAACTCAGATTCAGGAAATGGGACTGTCATTGTCCTCTACTAATCTTTCATTGAAAACAATCCACAGAGCCCACATTTAATTGTGTACATTGTGTGTTGTTGCATTGCCTTTGTTAAGTGTACGTATAACACATCGATTCATATCCATTGTTATCAGCAAAGAACCTGGTTTCATGTCTCTGTTTGTACAATTTTAAACATAACAATTTACTTATGTTGGGGTGAATCTGAATGCTGCCAACAAAATGTATGAACAGAAAGTGCACATTGTTCCACAGTGTTAGAAAAATGGTAAGTTATAGATGTAAGTGTGAATATTTTAAAGGAATGGTGAAAGCACAATAGGAAATATAGTGCAGAAGGAAGACAGAATTAGGGAAAACCAGGGATAAGATGATATGATGTTTGAACAGGCTTCTTGTAACCTTGAATTTAATATTATATAATATTCTTCTGCCTCACAGTTTCCATTATTTTAACATAGGCTATTATTTCTCTATATATTCTCTATATTCAAGTCCTGTCACCAGATTTTGTTTGCTTAACCTTTATCGTTTATGCAGTGCCGCTTACGCATAATTCAGCTTGCTGTATGTTCTAGCTTACTGCTAAATCATTGACTCAAGAGTTACAGTCTGGCCAACAGCCCAGTAGTACAAGGGTTTAGATCCCATATTTTTGTATGATAAAGGTTAATATTTGATTGACAGTATGATTTATCTGCTGCACTGCAGACAAATGAAGTGCAAGCAACTGTGTTTGTCTCTTATAGTTCATACATATCCTGCTGCAAACAGATTGTTTTGCACTAATGGATTTTCCACACGGTAGACATGCAGAGTTCACACAAGTTAAGATCATATCCCACGATGTGTTGTAGGTCAAGTGAGTTTATCATCCGCATGTCAAGGGACACACTATCAATCCTGAAGAGACACTTACAGGAGAAAAAGCACAGTGTAGTCCTTAACATCATCCAGGAGCACTTATACTTTGATATGTATGAGGGAGTAGCACGCAACAAACAACAGATAGAAGCCACTGCTGGTGCTGTGGTGGGAGAGGCTACTCGGCAGGGTGAGTGTTTTTGTAGACTGATAAATGGCAGAAAATATTTTTTTGACGTAAATACGTCTATATGGAAGGGTCATTCCGCAAAAAAGTGTATCGAAAAACTGACAGGAAAATAGGAAATATCAACAATTTGTAAATATGGACTGACAACAATGGTCATCTTGCATGAATTGTTATGTTACCTAGGAAACGTCATCTGTTTACTCGGAATTGTTGTGTTACATTACTGCCGTCAACAATCCGCTTTCGTTATTGTGGAAAGAGCTGAGCTGTGAATTGCTTGTAGAAGAAGTGTGTCGTAGATTAGATAATTTTGTGCTGGTAAAAACGTTTTACAATATCACAGGTACTTATCTTATATAAGAATTATTAAGAAATCTATTGTTGCGTTAGTTTGTTGCGTCATACTATGTACAAGATGGATGACATTGAAGCTAAAAGACTCCATAACGCAGAATATATGAGACAGTACAGGAAATGTTTGGCTTAATGTTGATGTCAAATCCTCAATGTAGTACTACTAGATCAAAATCTTGTATAGATTTGGTGTTTGCACGATATGTTGATACTCTAAAATGTACAAATTTTATAACATATTTCAGCTAACACAGATCCATCTTAAGCGTAACTAATTCAAGGTAGGCAGTACTGTCTTACTCAAACTTTAATCAATTGTAAAGCGTGTATAAAGAAGATATTTAGAATAAAGCCACTATATAAACTCCTTACTATATAGACGTATTTAAGTCAAGTTCTCCTGAACCGTGGTTCCACTGTAACTTTTTATGTGTCAGGAGATACTTAGATGATTCTTCTACATAGCTGCTCCAATACAATTTTCAGTGTTTTGACGCGTTACCTGACATCACTGTTCTCATAGAACATTTATGTTATTATGTCCAAAGACTTTTGTTTCATTGTTATAAAACTTTTTGCTTTTATATATTGTCATCTATCTGTACATCCATTTGAAGCATTTCTTGTGATGATCATGTTGTCTGTCTCTGAACTGCTCATGCCTCGTGACTTTTTGCAGCTATTAACTTGTCATGCAGAATGTTTTCCCATGCATAACATGAACAATGACATACATTAAGTATAATCATAAATGAGTTCTGTTGTGAAGTGTTGTCATTTGGATGGATTTTAGTCCAACCATTTTCTCCTGGAGTTTCTCATTTTTTCTGTTAATACAGTACATCTGAAGATTCGCTGATCTTGCCTGACTGCTGAGTCCATAAATTCTGATTCTTTTGTTATAGTTAACTCTCTTGGAAGTATCATTGTGCAGTAAGGTTAATCCTTGACTGTAGGTATGTTTTATGTGCTTCACTGCAGACAAATGAATTAAAGGCAGTTATGTTTAGCTTTGCAAATGTATGGTTTTGCTTTTGGTGTTAATGTCAGATGTTGTCTGTAGATAACAAGGCTAAGGTGTACTACGGGCTGCTGAAGGAGCCTGACATCCAGTACCTGCCTGTGGAGGAGGAGGAGGACGGTGAAGGCGATGGCACAGACAAGCCCAAGAAGAAGAAGGCCAAGAAGGACCCGCTATTCTCCAAGAAAACCAAGTCTGACCCAAATGCTCCTCCAATTGACAGGATACCGCTTCCAGACTTGTGAGTGTCAGATTGAATTAATTCTTATCCCTTTTAATTGTGGCACTAAATCGGGTCCAGTTTGTTTGTTCATATATGACAGAAGACCTGACACTCCGTGTGTTTCATCTGCATGTTGCTCATTTGTCGCTACTATATGTGGTCAGAACTCTCTGAATCAGTGAGAAGCAAACATGTGAGGACATGACAACTGCTAATTTTAAGCAGAAAAGTAAGAAGGAAATGTGTCCTTGGATTACAGTTTTCATGAAATGTAAAAAATAGCAATAATTATACTAATTTATTATTAACTAACTGCATAGAGACTAGGAGCTAATAGGCACTGTACTAGTTAAATTCTTAACCTTTTGTTGAACCCAAAAATACATTACCATTTTCACAGGAACTTGACTAAATTTAAATTGTTAATGAATGTAAAAAATTCCTCACCTAACTCTGCAGTGCAACTGGCACACTATAGGTGAAGTCTCAAAATCACATTACTTTCTTCTCTGTCAGGACTGTATTAGAATGCCTTCAAAGGAGACATGTAGTAGCTGATGCTCCAGCGACCCACAGTTTTGTTTAAGTGTTGCCGACACAAACAAAGCATAGTCTGTGTTGCAGGTCGAACCAGTCATTGGAAAACAGACCTGTTTCGAAATAAACTGGGACTTTCAGAATTTATAATTGCATATGCTCATTGTATCCCTCTGCAGTTAGCTTGCTTGAACCTCGTGTACTTATACTATTGTACATGCACAGTGCTGCACTCTCACTCTTCTTGCAGGAAAGATGCTGATAAGTTGGAGAAGGTGAAGGCCTTGCGGGAGGCATCCAAGAGAATGACCCTGAGCCCTGATACGCTCCCCTCAGTATGTTTCTACACGCTTCTCAACTCAGCTGGAGTGTGAGTTTTTATTGCATCTTCAACTTATGCAGTTCTTAGTGGTGCATGGCCATACAAGGGCACATTTTTGGTGACAAGACATCTTGTTTCTGTGGCTCTTACACTGATTAGTGGTTTTGGATCATAATTACACAGGGTCTGCTCTATGCAGTATTATTTATCAAGAAATCTCTGTGTTAAATGTACAATATTCAGATCACTCTGGATGCCATTATAAGCAAATTATGTACTGTTGACCTCATTGTATCTTTCAACTCACATCTTGCTGCCGACAGAGTGACAAGCGCAGAAGTGTCTGAGGACTCCAGTCTGTTAGCAGTGGGGTTCACAGACTCCATCATCAAGATCTGGACGCTGGTTCCCCAAAAACTACGAGCGATGAAGTCTGCAGAACAACTGCAGGACATTGATCGAGAGGCCGGTAAGGACTTGTTCAGTGAAGTTTATAAAGTATAGTTTTAAGTTAAGCTTTTTAAAAGAAGTACTTAACCATTTAAATTATAAGGATACACTTCTTGATACTCTCTTTTCATGATATCACAGAATATTTTTGAGGCTGATGCTTCAGTTTTTAATCTCTTTGACCTTTGTGCCCTCTGCCCACTTTGGCATTAGTAAGTAATTTATTTTTGATGTGGAGATCATAAGATAATATTGTGAGTGACGGCTGTTTAAAATGGAAATCCACACCATGATGGGAGTGTTCATCACTCACAAAGGTATTTAGAGTAATCTACACTGCATATGGTAAATCTTGAACCCATCATCTTCAGTACTAAGTACAGCAGTATGCAATAATATATTGTAGTGTATAGCACTGATTTCATGTGAGGTCACTTCAGGCTGGATTTATTCTTCACTATTACAATTATAATTGTGATTCATAATGCATTTTTCTTTACTACACTTGAAGCACCTAAGATAATTCAATTCAATAGCACTTGAAATAATTGTTTTAAGTTAGTTACTCTTCATATCTTTCATGTCACTACCCTATGAACTCTGCCTCAGGAATTAATTCCTTACCAGCCCCTGAGTGCCGAGGAAAGACGTATTTTGAAAGAACCATTTTTCTTGAAAAGCGGCCAGTAGCAACAAATGGGTCAAGTCCACACTCGTGTAGCATGAAAATTAGTTTCAAAACAATAAAGAGGATGGCAATAAGCTCTGACTTTCAGTTTCACTGCTTGACCATTAAGTTTGAGTTGTTAAAAGTACTGACTATAAAATTATGATATGTTAATCTTTGCCCTGACTCTCATGTCTCTTTCATGAATATCAGCAGTTTGATGCCAGGGTTATTCTGGAGGAATCAGGTAACTTAGATGTGACTATAGCATAAATCTTGTTGCATTCTTTGTTAAGTATTAGCATTATAGTGCACTGATAAACATTCATTATAGACCACACTCATCTGTACCTCAGAAAGGAACCAGAATAGGGAAGATGCTATCAGCTGTTTTACTAAAATCAAACCAATGCTGTGTTTTGTAGACGATGTACTGGTTCGCATGATGGATGACCGCTCAGCTGAAACATGTAGAACACTCCATGGGCATAATGGTCCGGTGTACCGTGTGGCATTCAGTCCGGATAGAACGCTGTTATTGTCCTGTTCGGAGGATACAACAGGTATGCCATACAATAAGAAAAATAATTAGTTATTTCAGATTTCATGCTTTTTAGGTAATGTCTCTACCTAACTCTGTTGAATGTGTTCCTCCTTCAGAAGATTATGTTTGGTAAATTCTCCATTATTTATGAAATCCAAGTTTTCATTACTGTGTTTACATGAGCCCACAACTGGACCCTATCCTGGGACAGTTAAATCCAGTCAACACCCTGCCACATTAATTCTCTAAGATACATTTTGTTGTTATCATTCAAGCATATATAAAGAAGGAAATTGTACAAGTGTTGATAAGTGGAGGAGAGGACATCCCTACAGCTGTTTTAGTGTTGTCAAACGCTAATGTCTCCTAAGTGGTCCAACTAAAATATTGTAATCTTAAAACTTTGCATACCGTGTAGTGTATTAGAATATAGAGTGAACAAAACCAACAACTATTAACACTATAATGGACACTATTGCCATACGCGTTTCGACCTCAAGAGGTCATCATCAGTGGCATCAGGGAAATTAATACATATAGTCAAATGGTTCGAGCAAATTTCATAATTAAAATGCGTATGGCAATAGTGTCCATTATAGTGTTAATAGTTGTTGGTTTTGTTCACTCTATATTAAAATATTGTATTTATTATTCTTTTCTTATATGCATGCTACATGTCCAGCTCATCCCATCCTCGTTAATACGTGACAGAGGAGGTACTCATGCAGTTTATTCAATCTCTTTTTCTGTCTTGGATCCAAATATTTTTCTCAGCACACTACTTTCAGAAGCCCTTAATCCTTGTCAGACACTTTGTGAATGGCACTTTCACACATATAAAACAGCAGGTTAAATTGTAATTTTGTGAATTTTATTCTACGTGTTTAGATGGAAGATGAATAATAAAATATTCAGAATAAAATGGTAGCAAGCATTCCCTGAAGTTGATCTGCTTAGTATAATTTTCATTTCTTACGGTCATTCCCATATGTTGTAACTTTGCTACATTTTCTATGAATTTTATAGTTTTCTTTATATAGTGATTTTGCCCTGAATTTTGGTGATGACACATGAACATCTCTGCATTTATTTCTAGACCAACTGCTTAATTATAGCATCTTGCAGAGTTTTTCCTTCAGATGTTAGAGATGGATACACCAGTTGTGGTCTTTCAGTTGAATTTCCACTTTGTCCATATACACTGCCCCATAATGAAGGGGATTGTTTATACACCTGGTGTTTTAATTCCAATTGACTTTTTGTGAGTGTATGTCCCACCTCTGCCATAATGTTTGCTGGAGTTGAGACAGCAAATCACAACTGCCAAAGCTTCCATCACTAGGGACACTGTGCACAAAATTTGGGACTAGTTGAATGATTGTGTTGACATGTCATGTGAGATTTTATATCGAATGGTTTGAAGTTCTAAGTATGCCACGTTTGTTTTGTGTATCAGTTTGAAAGTGTGAGGTTCCTTTGTGATTAGCTTGTATATTTTGGTGTTTAAACCGTAGTTAGTTGCGGAAAACAAGGGAAGCAGTTAAGTTGATAGTATCAAGACTGTTGTTTGGCTGAAGTTTAAATATTTTCTGTAATTCTGTTCCAAGCCCTATTGAAGTCAAGTTTTTCATGCAAGTCTCCAAAGCACTACAACATTTCATTTTCAAAGTCTTTTCCCCCCTCCCCCTTTTACCTCTTATATTTCATTATTTCATTTTTGCACTGGTTTTATCCACTCGGTTATAAACATAATTCAAAAACTAATTTATTTTCATTTAAACTGAGCAGCTTATATCTGGTTTAACATCAAGCCTAAATTAATATATTTTCAAATATTGCAATATAGCAGTACTTTTGTGCCATTCTAGATAATACAGAGCTTTGTAATCATCACTTATGATTTTTTCTTGTGAAAGTGAATATTGGAGTTACAAATTGTTCTTGTTGCAGTTCGACTGTGGAGCCTTCAGACTTGGACATGTCTTGTTTGCTATAAGGGCCACATCTTCCCTGTGTGGGATGTGCGGTTTGCTCCTCACGGCTACTACTTTGCCACTGCTGGCCATGACAAGACAGCCCGTCTGTGGGCCACTGACCAGCATCAGCCCCTGCGAATATTCGCAGGTCATTTTTCTGATGTCGATGTAAGACATTTTACATTCCGCTTGTCAGGGTGGGATATTTGTAGTATGTGTAGTTTGATGTCAGTGATGCAGAAGCATAAGCTTCATATTGATAGTATGGCTGGAATTTAATTTTATATGTCTGGTGTGAGGGAGCAGGAGTCTGTTACACACAAACAAGAAACGCTATTCACATGTCAGTCCATCCATCACAAAATTATTCTTTTGTAATTAAATTTCTTGGGTATAAGATTTGTTTGTTATGCCAGATATTTTGAAACATTGAATCCCTCTCTGACCATCATGCATTTACTTCATGTATAACCATGACTTTGCACAGTCCTGGCACATATACAGGCTTACCATGTTTACACATGAACTTTCTTTGACTTTTTTTTTTCTTTATCTGTACCAGTCCAGTATTTTGAATAAAGTACAAGTGTTTGGGCTGAAACATTGAATAGTGTTGCATCCATAAATAGTCAGTTTTCATGTTTTTTGTTCATACTGGCTTATAATATAATTACAGTTCTTGTTAATTTATATTTTTCTTCTTTTGACGATATTTTATTCATTTTTGAGCATTATTTTTTAAAGTACATAAAAAGAAATTGTGAGGAGGTTGGCCATCACCTCTTTCATCTTCAGAACTACCCATTGGATTTTGATGAAAATTCTTTTATGGATGCAGGTGAATTTAATTTTGATATGTACTGATCTATAGCCACGGTGGTCTAGCGGTTAGAATGCTGGCCTTGTAATCCTGGAGTCTCGGGTTCGATTCCCGGCGGTGCCCGAATTTATAACTTGTGTTGGGCAAGGCCGTGGTCTAGGCAACACGGAGTTTTCCTCCGGGGGCTTCCCTGGTTTCTCCGTGGCATCCCAACAATTACTCCATTCACACACAGAAGAAGGCAATGGCAAACCACTTCTGGATCATCTGCCAAGAACGTATATGAACAGGTCCGGGGTCTCGGGTTTGATTCCCGGCGGTGCCCGAATTTATAAATTGTGTTGGTCAAGGCCGTGGTCTAGGCAACACGGAGTTTTCCTCCGGGGGCTTCCCCGGTTTCTCCGTGGCATCCCAACAATTACTCCATTCACACACAGAAGAAGGCAATGGCAAACCACTTCTGGATCATCTGCCAAGAACGTATATGAACAGGTCCCAGTCCGATAAAAGGATGGAAGGATCCTGTTCATATGGACCTGTCGTCAGACAGAACACTAAATAAATAAATAAATAAAAATGTACTGATCTGTTACAACCCTTACTTTGCATGAAACCCAAATGGAACTTCTTCAAACTTCTCATAATGGCTCATCATACAGAAAATTTGTATGTAATGTAAAATACAGATCTAATTAATAAGTAGGATTTTAGGTGGTGAGTACAAAGATGGCTGTCTTCTGGGTTGTAGCACCTTGTAATCTAGTAAACTTCTACCAGACTCTTTTGCACTACAACTCAGAAGACAGCCATCATATTTACAATTTTTGTTGGAAACTTTTTTTGATTTATTAATGAAATACACGCAGTGTGATACCTGCAGAGCAGTTAGATTTGCATTTGCAGTTAATGAACATTTTGAGGCCAATAATAATGCCAAATTGCAAAGAACATTTGAAAAATGGAGTACACGTTTCCATTCTTGTTTTTGTCGGAGTTATCCTTCCCAAGTGCAACAACTCTGCAAGTCCAGTATCCAGAATACTGTAAATAGATAAATAGATGTGCACTGTTAAGTCATATACAGAGGAAATCACTTTCAAGGAACTGATTTTGCCAAGTTGGTAACTGGTTTCATAAGAACTGCAAATGTTTTTAATTGATAATGGTCATACACAGATTACCATGAAACAATAATTTTATTACAATATATAAATTTGATGTCATGTGCTGACCCTCTGTTATATAGTAGCTAATTTGTTTTGAACTCTTGTAGTGTGTCCAGTTCCATCCCAACAACAATTATGTGGCAACTGGCTCCAGTGATCGAACGGTTAGGCTGTGGGATTGCGTTACAGGGAACCATGTACGACTCATGACAGGGCACAAGGTGAGATCACAATATCCCTATAATTTTGCTAAAGGAGTCTGATTCTGTTACCCCATAAAGCTTATTGATACTAAACTATAAAGTGTTTCTTGAACAGTGGATAATTATTCAAGGCACTGAGAAATTTCCCATTATGGAAGCCAAACATTTGTTTCCATTTTTACAAACCCCTGTCATTAGGGCCTGTTCTTTGCCAGTTGAATCTAGTTCACATCTTCACACCCTATTTATCGAAGGTCCACTTTAATATTATCCTCCTATCTTCATTTCTAATTTTCCTTATGCATGGTACATGTTGTACCCATTTTATACTTAATTTAATCACCCAAACTGCATTGATGAGGATTGCATGTTTCCCCATTTCTCCAAAATACCCCCTCTTTTACTTTCAACTATTTTCCTCTGCACTTTGGTCTCAAACACGTCTTTTGGTTTTGCTGCAGGCTCCAATTTACTCCTTGTGCTTCTCAGTGGAGGGGCGCTTTCTGGCATCAGCCGGCGCAGACTCGAGAGTCCTGCTGTGGGATCTGGCACATGGCCACTTGGTAGCAGAACTAACAGGCCACAAGGGTCCCATACACTGTCTTGCTTTCAGTCGGGATGGACACATCCTCACCTCAGGTAACTGAAATATTGACATTAAAAAAGGTATAGACAAACACAAGCTGTTTGCTCTTTCCTGGACACCAATACAATAAGGTAAAAGCTTTGTGTCTAAACACTGGACGTATTTTAGTCAGATTTGGGATCTGACCCATCGATGCAGCATATTATTGTGACCATGGTCAAAAAAATGGGTGTGGCACTTGTAACTTGATAATTTGGCTGCATTAAGAGTAGAAGGCTTCATTCTTATGTTTACACTGAAAGCTGTCTTTTGTGTGTATGCATGCACGTGCGCATGAGAGAGAGCAGTTTAGAGCAGATTCCTTCTTGAGAAGTTAGTAGTTACTCAGCCTTTCAAGAAGTTACCAGACTTTTATGGAAGTTTGAGGTTCATTACTGTCTTCACAGCATCCTTGCCATTGAATCATGTCCTGAGCCAGTTTAATTTGCACTGCCTATTTCTAAGACCCATTTTAATATTATTCTTTCATACATGTCTGGGTCTCCCAAATGATTCATATGCCACCACAGTCCCATCTGCTCCTGCAAAAGTAAAGACATCCCATTACATTCCAATGTGGCACTTACGGGAAAGGACATATAGCCTTGGCATTGGAAGGGGGTGAATGGTCAGTAGCATGCCCCACCTGTGCTTTACCCCTGGGAAAGGACCCTGGTACCCATTGGACAGGAGGCTGGGTGGGCTTCAATAGCCGGTCTGGACACGGAGGCTAAAAGAATATCCTCTGCTTCTGTCGGGGATCAAACCCCAATCATCCAGCTCATAGCCAAGCACTAGACTGACTGAGCTACCTAGCTCTCCCAGCTGCTCCTGCACTTTTGTTGAATCTAAATGATACTCCATGTTCCAAATCTCATCTTTTCTTTCCATGCCAAAGAATCTGTCCAAGCCCAAGCCTGTCTTTGATATTAGCACCACACCCAATCCCCAAGGTGGAGAACCATCTTTCTTCAGCTGTCTTATTCCATATATTTACAGGTAGGAACATGAGGATGTGCCATTCCATGATGACAAGGAACCTACTTTTCTCTTCTTTATATACATACAAGTGTAAATAGTGCCACGGTGGTCTAGCGGTCAGAATGCAGGCCCTGTAATCCTAGGGTCTCGGGTTCGATTCCCGGCGGTGCCCGAATTTATAACTTGTGTTGGGCGAGGCCGTGGTCTAGGCAACACGGAGATTTCCTCCGGGGGCTTCCCCGGTTTCTCCGTGGCATCCCAACAATTACTCCATTCACACACAGAAGAAGGCAATGGCAAACCACTTCTGGATCATCTGCCAAGAACGTATATGAACAGGTCCCAGTCCGAGAAAAGGATGGAAGGATCCTGTTCATATGGACCTGTCGTCAGACAGAACACTAAATAATAATAATAATAATAAGTATAAATAAGTTATATTTCTACATGAAGGGAGCTTACAATATCTTCTCTCCTTCAACCTGTATTCAGTGGCTGCTCTAAATTATAATTTAAGAATCATGTTTTAGTCAAGATACTTGGTTACCTGGCTGAGTGGGTGTTATCTGAATATGTACCTAGAACATTACTGCTAAACAAATCCACTAGATCTAGAAGAAGAGCACTCATGCCACTTTCTGCTTGTACAGCTTATATCTTAATTGCATCATGCTTGTGTTCCTCAATATAATAATTTTATTTTAGCAGATACAAGAGTTTTAATTTTAATTTTGATTGATAGACCTGACGATGATGGAATTGAACATCGAAACATGTCGTCATTTTAAAATGTAACAATATCAAAAATGTTGAAATGTTATAATTTTATGTAATTTTAACAATCTATAAGCTTGTGTAAGGACGGAAAATAAAATTATTACACTTTCTGCTTACTTTCTCAGGATCACAGGATTGTTCAGTCAAGCTCTGGGACTTCTCACGGCTGGCAGAGGAGATGGTACTTGAGGATGTTAATATCTCACACAATCCAGACATCAAAAAGAGTGACAGCTATTTGCTACGATCGTATGGCACCAAGAACTCCGCTCTTCTCCACTTGCACTTTACAAGACGCAATGTACTGCTGGCCGTAGGAATATACGAGGGTTCTTAATACTACTTTACAGACCTCTCAGTACAAAACAATATGGGATTGTCTTTATTGAAATGGTGATATCCAGATGATCAAGAAATTCCCTGCTTGTATGGGTCCAGAATGTTCATCATCTTGTTCAAAAAAAGTCAAGCTGAACCACGTTCTGAATCTGTTCAATCCAGTACTCAACTTCACATCCTTTTTTATGTTCATTTTAATATTACCTTCCCTATGTCTCCCAGAGACTGTCTTTCCCAGAAGTGTACTGGCTAACATGTAACAACCAATTCTTACACCTCTTCCGCCTGCCCTTTGTAGTTTTAAAACAAAATCTGGCAGAGAAAAGCATTTAAATGTCACAGGTGAGAAGAAAAAGCAAAGGGAGTGAATACTGAGAGGGCAGCAACACATCAGTAATTGATACATTTCGTATAATGATCAATCAAAGAAAGTGTTTGTATAAATGCATTCTCAATATAGCTGGTAACCACGTTGGAGCAATCATTGCTCTATCGTGCCAAAGCCTTAAATAATAAAAGGGCGTCCTTATCTCAACCTCTGTTTCCTTGTGTAAGGAAAACATAACATTCACCCTGCACTCCTACTGGAAGTGGAAACAGAAATCGCACATCGGAGTAAACTAGCATCAAACTGTCCCACATGTTACATCTTCCAACTTCTATCTGTCTGTCTGTCTGAATCCAAAGCCAGTGGATAAGAGTTGAAAGATACATCCAGTTTTATTAATATGTTCTTTGCAATTTTGTGAAATGTGGGTACACAAACATAGTCTCTTTATTGAGTGTTCATGTTATGCACTTTGTGCAAAGAACATACACATATTACTACTGTAGATACTTGTCACAATAATAGAAATATGCAAATTATGAAGAAAGTCTTTCACCATACGCTCCATTAGAGTGACACACTTTATTTGCTATCATTATTGGTGTTAAAACAAGTCCGGCAGTAAATTGAAAGTTTTACTTTGGGGTGTATTTTTATTTATTAATGTATTAAAGTGCAACATGATATGTAAAATACTGTAGTTAGTATCTTGAGGGTAATAGAAGAGCAAGATTGCAGAGTATGTATCTATATGTAACATTTTTATAATGCTGCTATCTAAAACAGTAAGTTTATCCATGTGTACTACAATCTCATTTTCTGGTGCGAGATTTATACAGTTTTTATTTTTCTATTCAAAATTTATCACTCATGTGCTGTCTAAATACCCTTGCTTGTTCCATAACAATTTCATCAGTAAGTTCTATACCTTATATGCACCTGCCATATTCTCAGGAACTTGAACTATTTCACCCTTCAACCATTTTAAATTTCTGCAACACAACCACAACCGGTGGATGGCTTTACCCCATAAGAGGGATCAACAAATTCACAGAGATGGTAATAACTGTCTATCCTCACTGCCAGATACCAACACCACAGTGTCCAAGATTTTTTTAACAAAGAAAATGTTAACTCTCACTATGAAGTTCCTAGTTTTATTACTATCAGAAACAATGCTAACAACTTTAAAATATGGTAACCATGTACCTACTTGAGTTTCTACAATAAACATACACCCATGACATTGGTAGTATACACCCGATACAAACCTATTGTAGTATACACTACATTAAAATACCTCATTGCCTACCAAATTTAGATTTGTCATATGTAAATTCATGTTTGCATTAGTCCAAATACAAATGTGACATGGCAGAAGTGAGTGGGAAATGGAAAGTCAAACACTTAGGGCTCTCGCAGACAAGAAGACTGTAATTAAACGTAAGTCCATCAGATATAATTATTGATGGTAACAGCAGTAGACTGTCTAATAAAAGAGAACAGAGACATCAACTTTTATAGTAAAGGAAGAATTCCTGCTATTAATGATGTTTAGAATAAAGAAAATTAATTTGAATACAAAGGGGCTTACACATGTGTGAAAATGTAGATTTCGTGATGCAAGTTGTAATATGTATAGGAATATATTGATATAATTCTATCATCACGTGGTGCTGATAACGTTGCAGCTTCCCATTTTACAGGATACCTTGAAACACGACAACTGGAACTGAAAGCATCTTTCAACATGTATAAGACTGGTATACAGTTCTGCATCATTGTCTGTGGAATGCAATGTAGGAATATTTAGGTAAATGTGTAAGGAACAAAGCCTGTTCTCAACTTGCAGAAAAGTGTAAGGAATGATTTTCAGTTGGCGATAAAGACTTTCCAGTCATTAAAACAGCCACAAGTATTTTTCTAGGCAGGAACTCAAAAGGGTTTTCATTGAACTTGCAGAAGTGTGGAATTTTAATGGACAATATATTGTGACAAGTATCAGCCATAACACTATGTGAGTGCTGTGATGTCCCCTATCATTTTACCCACATTCGATTGCGTGGCATGTTGACAATATGAACATCATACTGAAATATATTTCTTCCGTTTTATATGATGCAAGTGACTTGTTTATAAAACCTCCTTTAATTTTACATGATCTAATTACACTTTTTCCAAATCACAGCCCATATGTAATAGTATGAATATAATATCTAAAATGTCTTCTATTAATTGACTGTCATCTGATTCTGCCCTTTGTATCAGCATGACAGACCGCATGGAATACACTCAACCACAGACACAGTATATGTATAATTTATATCACACATTATAATAAATAGGCTAAGTTCTCTGATACGATAAACTTAAAACTTGATGTAAGACCTTTCAAATTCACAGGTTTGTAGTAGAGCTCAGAAATTGAAGTGCAACTGCTGTATTTTTAGGTCTATTTTTAAAACAGGTTTTATATCTCATTGTGTCTGATTTTTAAAAATTAGGGCTTTATATGAAAATAATTATGCTAATTCTTGGTATGAATGTGATACTATCAGGAGGAACATACACATATTAAAAAAATTACCACACGTAATGTATCGCTCAGGAGAACATGTTCTCTGTGAACCTGGTCTCACTCCTCTCTCTTTCTCACACACACAAATATGTACACGCGGTGACACACGTGACGTCATGCGTGAAACAGCCCCTGATTCGTCAGGGATGGGCATTGTTATTTAGGTCCCACCCCTCATTGTTATAAGATTTCAGGTCGTTGAGCAGTTGTTTGTGTAGTTACGATAGTAACGACTTTGAAGTTTGTTTTATTCAATCGGACCGGAGAGCCATAGAAGAAGAGGTGTTGAGTGGTGAATTATCAATTTGTTTCGCAAACGAAAATGGAATCAAGAAGAAACGTATCAAGGTCAACCAGTAAGTATTGTAATGAATATAAGTTTACATACTCCACTACTATAACTCTTGTAATCAGGCTAAAATTCTAATAAAAATCATGAAACTTTTTGTAAGTAAAACTGCCTCACTACAGGTGCTTGGGGAGAAAGGTGCTACAGATCCTACTCATCTCAACCGCGGCACTAGCTGGGGTGAATGTTTGGTGTTATGTCACGGCCGCGCGTAACCTCCGGGAATCGACCCCAGTACCAATTGGATAGGAGACTGGGTGGGTTCCAGAGGCTAGAGGAAAAATCCCCTGCCCCGTAAGAGTTTTTATATTCTTCAGTTTGTAGTACAGCTTCAGAAATTGTAATACAACTGCAGTATTCTTTAGAACTATTCTTTAACAGGTTTCATATCTCATCATGTGTAATTTCTGCGAACGAAATATCACGGTATGTATATAAAAGCAATTTTGACTATTCTTAGTATGGACTGAAACGGGTTTGCTGTATGGGAGGAACAAATATTGCAAGGTTTCAGCACGTAATGTTTTATAAAATATTACAAATAAAACAGAATGAGAACTAGATATATTGAGGAACTGGTGACCATGTACTGTTAGCACAGTGAAATATAGACAGCTGAACTTGTAGCATCGGTTATGTACATACATTTAGAAAATATTCATGCAGTTACCCAAGCAATTATTAAAAAATATAAATGGCATGTTCATTTGCAAAAACTGAGTTCATCACGTGAAAGTGAGGTTACGTTTTGTAATAATGCAAGGAAGACTTGGAATTGATCTTGAGTTATTTACACTGCACAAGTTATATATGGTTAAATGGTAGGGAGTCTAACTTATAAATTGTAAATAGTGTAAGAAGGAAGTGGGCATGACCTATTTTAGAGCACTTTCAGGAGGCATGTTTCTTCCTCTTGTGTTCTGCTGATTAATATTGTGGTAGCATTGAGCACAATCCTCCGCCAGTCTCATCCACCTCTCACGCTTATGTCTCTCCCCAAGATTAATTTGAATGGCTTCCTCATATCTCCTTCTGTCTTTCAAGGAGCATTTTCCAAGAGATTTCCATATTATAATTTGATATACATCCTTGTCTCCCCCATCCCACCTACATACTGAATGAATCAGTGCTTCTCTGATTCCAGTGCTGCAGCACTAGCACTAGGCACCCTGAAACATCACAAAGTTTCTCATTATGTAATGTGATAAGTTACTCACATAATGCTTCTTGAGTTCAAATATTTTCAGACACTCATGATTCGTGTTCCCTCCATAAAGGAAGAATTTTTTACATCAATTTAAAAAATATTTTACTCAGTTTGAAATACTTTTTTTGTATTATACAAGTACAATTTTATGTTTGAAACAATATGATCTGTATTGCATTGTGTGGTGCTGCTTTAGGTCATGTTGCTGTTCCACATACTTCAGGTTGCATGCCTGCAATCATGGATGTTCCAATTGTGGAGGGTAACGTCAAGAGACTCATCAAATGTTGGAGTGAGAAATATCTTGGGGTTCAGCAAGGACTGATGAATACAATTCATGAAGTTGAAATTAACTACTGCCCAGACACGGCAAAGAACACGCATACATCTAAGGTAACTTTTTTTGTTACTTAATCAAAAGGTCAGACACGGCAAAGAACACGCATACATCCAAGGTAACTTTTCTTGTATACTTAATCAAAAGGGCAGAGACCTTCTTTAAAAGGTGATAGGCTCTCACTTGATCAAGGACCCAAAGATTGTTATGGTCGTAAGAGTGTGCTAGTGGATCTTATCCTAGGCTATATAGTTCCAGTCCACATTCTTGCACCCTATTTACTTAAGAGCCATTGTAATATTATGCTCCCACTTGTGTCACATTATCCAAAATGGTCTCATTCCTTAATCTTTTCACCACTCGTGCTACCATTTCACTTTTCTTGATTCAGCCACATTTATTTTCATCCCCATTATCAGTATTATGCTTTCATTGCACAATGTCCACAGATCGGAATAATAGGGTTATGTCTTACCGCTTGCATGTTTCTACTCGAGAACCTCTGGGCAGATTTTTATGAAAGTTATGCCATTGTAGACAACCCCAAATTTCAGTTTACTACAGCTGATAATTACAACATGGTAAATATGTGATATATTAATGACACTAGCAACTTGTATTAAAGTAATTTTTGTGGACGTCACTTGGTGACAGCACTGGGCTGTATGAGGTGGTCGAATACCATCCAGTGCATGAAGTGTATTGAGTTCTGGACAGGGCATGTTAAAGCCTGAGGCCAGAACTCCAACTCATGAACTACATTACACTTGTGACACTCCATAAGAGTAATGATAGCATCCAGATATGACTAGCTCTTGGAATTTTATTCTGTTGGTTGTAAGTTTTTCTTATTAAAAGTATGTACAGTAGGGGAAGAAATGAATATGGCAGATCATACATCTGAAGAGGGCAGTTATTACAAGATGAAAATGTTAAGTTAATTCAAATGCTGTTAAAACTGTAGTTTAGTTTCTGAATAATTTATGTCCATCTGTTTAGTTGTTCAGTGATAAAATATTCCTTAACATTTCACCTGAAAATGGAGGCTTTTCATTCTTCCAACATTTTTTTAACCACCTACAAGACCATATACATTATGAACAAGAAGACAAATTGCAGTGCTTTATTTAATTTTTTCCCCTATGAAGACTTCAGATAAGTTAAGATCAGTTAAGAACTGCACAACAAGAATTGAGGAAATCAGAGCACAAGTTATCTAGAATTGAATCTGAAATTGCGCAACTCCCATCTCAGATTTATGTACCAGAGGGACAACTAACCAAGGAAGAAGGTTCAAGTCATCCAAAGGTAAAGGAAATGGTGAAGATCTTTGATGATGCAGGCAAAACACTGACAGAATCAAAGGAGGGAAGTCGCAGCCTTAAATTGAGGTTTGTTTTACATTTTAATCCGTTTCCTTTTAAATCGTTTTCTTCTTCTATATTACACAATCCAAGATAATAAATTGCATGGCACAGATATATCCTTAAAAAGTTTATACTCATCTGGTCAAGAAATTCATTGTTATCATGTAACCCAAAGTTTTGTTACTGTATTTACAAAAGTATATAACTGAATTTTATCATGAAATAATTTATTAAACATTCACACCTTCACAAAATACTTCTCACCATATTTTCACTTATTCTCCCAAGTATTATCTCCATGTTTGGATTTTTAATTAAAATGTTATGTGCATTCCTTGTTTTCATCATGTGTGCTACATCTCTACTCCATTATATCCTTCTTTATTACACAGCCTGGCAATATTAGGCGATAAATTAAATTGTGAAGCTCTACTTTTCTGTTACTTTGTCTTCCCTTCTTGTTCTGCACACCTTTCCCAGCATTTTGTTCTCAAACACGATCATTTTTCCCTTGGAGTAAGATTCCAAGTTTGATATCCATTCAGACTAAAGGTGAAGTAACAGTTTTATATATGTACTTTTAGAGGGCACGTTAAAAGGTAAAAGGTTGGAAATTGAATGATAACAATCATGAATAAAAGTAAATTTGTCCTCAACTTCAACTAGACACTTTGTTTTCAAACATTTGCAATTTATATTCCTTCCACAAAGTATGTTAGTGGGTAGGTTCTTTGCCATGGAGACACAACTTCTGCCCCATGTGAAAGGGGTAAAAGGCTATTTTCCCAACTGTATCCTTTCCTCCCTCTCTCTAAGTGGTCTGTTTCACACAAAGTTTATACATGTTGTTTTCCCTGTGTGTGCAGCCAATCACAGAGTGATCTCCACAGCAAGAAAGAGAGTTATTACATCCTTATGGACCTGAAACTCAAAGTGTTTGAGCTTCAGCAACAGGTATGCCATAACAATTGAATTACACAATAACCAAAATGAACAGGAAAAATTATTAGAATCAATTAGTATAATGTGTGTTTGTTGAAAGGTTTGGCTACACTGCCTAAACAGTATTTCTTTTGTGTTCTGACCAGGTGGTGGCGTTGCAGGCAGAATCACTTGCAGTATTTACCACATATGAACAGTTCATGTCCATTGCTATAAGAATACAAGCCAACATGATCGCAGAACAGGAAGCAACACTGGAAAAAGATGATGAGGTATTCACACATAATGATGTGATACACGCATTAGGAAGTACTTTTATAACTGTGTACTATTCATGATTCTTAAAAAATTGTAATGATGTTTTTTAAACTGCAAATAATGTTAAATGAAACATGAAGATGGTAATGAATGGTGGGTAGTTAAAAATTTTGAAGAAGGCATTGTGGACTGTTTCAAGGTCTAACTAGGCTTTTGCTTGGAGAGACTGAACAAAACCTTAATAACTTAAGTCTGAAGTTTTAAAGTTTTTGTTTAAGCGCTGATTTATTCTATTAGGTGCACTGAAATTCCTCAATAATCACTACAGTAGATTCATCCTTATAACCCTTATACCACATAATTTATATTTAATCTAGAATGATAAGGGGTCCGCAGTGGCCTCGCGGTCTGAGGCGTGGGCCTTGTGCCGCTTCATCGCTGGGACCATGGGTTTGAATCCCACTCAAGCCATGGATGTTTGTCTGTGTTGTGCTGTCCTGTGTACTGGTAGAGGCCTTGCGACGGGCCGATCCCTCGTCCAAGGAGTCCTACCGAATGTCTATAGATCAAGCCAACGAAAAGTTGGGACCCGCAGTGCTCAGGCACTTGAAGAACGGGTCGTTCCCAGTATCCAGTATGTAGAATGATATTATGAGACTGGTTCATTTAAACACTGCCAGTATGTAAGGCTTTAACACACTGAATGCAACTGGTAAGATTTATTGCATTAAGTGATGCAAAATCCAAAATGAGCAGTATATGTGAAAGGTAAAATAGATATGAAGTTGTCTCTGTGGCTAAGCACCACACCATGATGGCATGTGGGTAGAATGGACGTAAAGCTCCACACATTTTTAAACTTGGCACTACCTGTAGGTGAGGAGTGTCTTCCACAAACTGGTCACTATAATTCAGGAAAGAAGTGCCTGGTATTCACTGGACAGGATGCTGAGTGAGCTACTCAGACATCAGATTTGTGCCCAGGTCCTCCTAAAGCCTCAAAATACATAAAACAATTCTTCATTTTCAAGGTAAAGAAGGAGACTGGAACAGAAGTGGATGAAACTAGGCCAACTGCCAAAGGAAAAAAGAGACGCTTGACTGGTTTGTTTAATAAAAAGTGGAAAATATGGAGGATGAACAAGAAAGTTTCCAAGCACAGATTGAATACTCTTGCCAGCATACTGAGAAAGGATTGCTGCTCACAATCGTGACTTCTGTTCAAGAAGGGCTGACAGAGATACTTGCAAGATCATTATAGAATCTCTTTCATCTTATGTCTGAGGACTAGAATGTTGTGCTGTGTAGTCTGGTAGAAATTTACTGACATCTCAAAGATGTGTTCTGCCTCCATTATTAGGGTGATGAGTAGTCTGTGCATAGAAAATTGGATTGCGATATGAGAACAAGTTGAACACGTCAGTTTTGTCTTCAGGACCTGCAGGAAGAGACTTGATGGTGTGAATGAACACCACTGAGTTGTATGATCTGAAGTTTTCACGGCGACAAAGTATAATGAATTCTTCTCAGACTACCAGCCATGTCAGCTGGTTTAATGAAGAAAACACCAAACATTTCGAGAACCATCTTTGTCCTCGTCCTCAGGGTACTGGAGGAGATAACTAAAACTACAGTACCATGAGGAGGAGGACAAGGATGAAGATGGTTCTCAAAACATTGGCGTTTTCCATTATACCACTGAGATATTCACATGATGGTGTAGAAGAAAGAAAGAAAATATATATATATACACGAGGGTTACTTCAAAAGTCCTGGCAAGTAATTTTTGGGGGGCAAACACATTATATTGAAGAAAGTTCAAAATATACATATGAACGGGCACGATGTACTCCTCCAATTGCCTACTATACCTACACCCATTCACACCTACCTGATCTGACTACGCCAATCAGAGGAGTATATCGTGCCCTTTCATATGTATATTTTGAACTTTCTTCAATACATGTTTCCCCCCAAAAATTAGTTGCAATGACTTTTGAAGTAACCCTCATATATATTTGTTGTTGTTATTATTATATTAAAGAAACTTAAAACCAGTAGTTCTGTTGCAAGTGTTGCATTAATATTCCTTTACCTGACACAGACTAAAAATTCTTCTGGCATAGCACACACTTCATTTGTGCCAGATAAAGCCTGTTTACCTTAAGGCTATAAATAATATGTGACCGTCATTCACAAGTTTGCTGGAATTGCCAGGCCCCTCTGGTGGTGTGCCAGAACTACTGGCTCCCAATTCACGGGTATGACATCTAGGAAGGGAATGTTTCTCACTAGTTGAGTCTCTGCTCCTGGTAATCTTCTCAACTTCTCCAAGTTGGATGTCAGCTTCTTGTGATATGCCAGAACTAATGGCTCCCTTCTGAGAAGGATCAATTTACAGATGAAAAAACTGTATCTGAAAGCTCCTTTGTATGGGTCCCACCATTACAGTTCTAATCGTACGTTCCATTATCAGTTCACAAGAACCAGGGAACAAAAGTAACCATCTACAGGGCCCCGTCAGGCAGAAGGCACTGATACGACAGGGTGCTGCCAGTGCTCCAAAGGGACCATTATTAACACTGCTGTCACCACCTCAGTGCCTTGCACCTTTTGGCACAATACCTCACACCTCAGCTTCAGTGGACCAGAACCCTGTTCACCATCCGAGGACATTACCCCCTCTGTGTTGAGGACATCAAGGGTCGGAATTTGGACGGGATAAAACTAAAAAATAAGCACAAGAAATAAATTTGAATTTTCTGTCAGAATTTAATTTAATATCCAACTTACAACCCAAAAGGCTACAAAAAAACTTGCAATGTTATACTACTTTTCAGTGTGTACTGTCTGCATGAGTGAAGCAAATACTTGTGACATAGGTGTCCCCAGTTGGCAAGTAATGTGCACGTGCAAAAGCCCCCCTATTCCTGAGTGAAAATACTGGTCTTCAGATATAAGATATTTCTCACATATGCGTGTTGCTTTCCATGGCTCTGCTGTTCATAATATTATTCACATATTTGTTGTAATTGTTTTATAATAGTTATCATGTTATAAGGTATTACCAAAACGTTTACATCAAATCAGAGCAAGCACGTTTCTCAGTCTTCTTAACTCTCGTGGACAGTAGTTTGTTGGGGCACGAGCTATGGTCTTGAGTACTAATCATGTGAGCACTGTATAACTCAAGGTCATACTTCATTTTGTAATGAGGACAAAATATGCTAGAAAAACAGATACAATTAAGAGTTCATCATAATGTACAGACATACCAAGCACAGTATGACATTAACCCAGTATGGCTAATGAACAGCAAAGGTATGCCATCTTCAGATAACTGGTTCTTGTGACAGTTCTCTTCTTTTAAGAAGAAAGCAGAAAATTATTTTGATCACACCAATTCTTTCAAGTATATTACTAAATCAGTGTCAAGTCAATCATCAGATCTTACAAAAATATTCCCTAGAAAGGTGCTCATGGCAACCATGACAATAAATCACCTGAAGCATCATTTAAGACATACGTCAACACATCATTTTCATGGTTCTGTTTTGTCCTTCACGATGAGGGTTCAGTACTGATGGCCACTGGAGGCAGAAAATGTGCACGAACTTGTGCGTGGAGATGCGCCACCTCTGGATCCTCTCTCTCTAGTGTACGTATTGCTTGAGCAAAGTGCACGATGCCTGGGGATTAAAATGGCATAACACAACTTATTTTCTCATTTTTCAAAAATGCGTAAGAAATTACTTGTTTTAAGAGTAAATCTACTTCAATGATTACAAAAATGACAAAGTTATAACACAATTTTTTTACAGCATTTACTTAATGTTTGTATGTCACTTTACAATGAAACTTCAAATAATTGTAATTTAAATAAGAAAACTTTATTCACTAATAAAACATCATATTTACACATTATGGACAACAAAAATTAAATAGCACCAAGAAAAAATACAAAAAAATGCAGTTTTACTAAAAAAAATTCAATACACATAAAGGTCTGTTTTCCTCTTATGAGCAATGAACAAGAAGTCAGCCGCCATGGCTGCATCCCACCTACACTTTGCATTAGATCTTGGTAACACACATAACAATAAGTTTTGAGTTAAGGTAGAGATGGTGGTTTTTCTAATATATGTCAATGGACATGCAGCACCTTCCCCTCTTTGCCACTCGCCAACAGCTGACAGGATGATTACAACTCAAGATCATTCAGTTCAATTTTGTGTGGTTTTTTGGCAACTCTGTGGAATGTACTTTGGATCAGAAGATGTTGACAGGCCTTCAAGTTAGTTGGTGGTCATTACAGAGTAAATGTTAGGATACTCATTGCCATGAGAACCTGAAATCTCACTGCTTAATTTTTGCTGTCACAACTCAAAACAGCTCACCTTACCCAAGACTGATCACTGACCGCATGTATACTGTGAATGCCTGACATGCAGCTCTGATTCAACAATCCTGTCATAGAAATATATACTTGTAACATCTTCAACCACCAATCATTGCGTATGACAATCGTTGCCATACCAAACTGATGTAATTACAGAGAATAGCCATGCAACAAATAATGTATCTTTGGAACACACTTTCAAAAATGAAATAAACAAAAGTGTGTCACCAACAGTGCTATATTTTAGAAAACTAGATTATTGTATGACAGGGTGTGTAGATCAATTTCCATTGGAGACTTGTCAATTAATGAAAATAGTTCAGACACCCAGAGAACTGGAAATCCCAAGTTAAGAACCATTGCTTTATATCACATTTCACAAATATGAATAATTTCAGGTGTGGAAGTACAGGCAAGTTGTTTAATATTTTCAGAAACAAAAACAGGCACACCAACAACTAAATATTTTTCTGGAATATGTCAACAACATATTTTTACATAAAAGCATTTGATTTTAAGCAAGGGGTTCATGAACTACCATTTAAGAACAAGTCTGCTCCAGACTCTGTACACTTCTGGAATTGTTCAGTACACATTACATAATGGTTCTGCCCGTCTACTGTACCTTCACGTCCTTCTGGAAATCCATAGTTTTTTATAACATCCATTTCTATCTGCATAACAATAGGGAAGACAAACTGCATCATTTTCAACATGTCATTGCCAGCATTGTCCTTTGCTTCTCCAAGCTTGGTAGCATTTTCAGGAAGACTGATTGCCTCCAAGACGCTAGATAGCAAAGCTGGAAGTTCAAAACCTTCAGTCAGCATGTAACTTATTTATTTAGTTATGTTTGTGTAACTGAATGTGCTGCTTAATCTCTATCATATGGGGAAAGGTAATTTAAACCCCCTTACTACAAGGCAATTTTCCACACTTTTATTCCAGGGTTAACTGTTTAGCAGTACACTGGTGTGATACAGAGCCAGCTGGACTTTGTGTAAACTGTAACTTAAAGATGATAAAAGTTGATGAATGTAGAACAATGAAAGTTTGGTTGGTAACATCATCAGTATCATGTGATGGTTGAATATTATCCACTGTGTCATTAAAAGTTTAAAATAGTTCAAATTCACTGTTTCTGAAACTGGCTCCATCTCCATAAAACTAATCTTCATTGGTGTGCTAACTTTACCTAATGGGCTATAGACAGTAGGAAATTTCTTGCCTGAATACAGTGACAGAACCAGTCTCAAAAATGCAGTGATTTTTTAGTTTTTTTAACACTATGGATAATGGATATCAAACCCAAAAATCAAAATAATGCTAGCACATCAGTGACAATGTGAATTTCGCTTGTTCAATCTGTTGTCACTTCACATGGTAAATAATTTGCAAGATGGCCTTCTGATAAAATAAATACACTAATGATGATACTGGTGAGTTTCCACCACCCTTCCTGTCCCAATGTGTCAAACACACCACACACGCCCACTTTTATATGGAACATTACCTCGTGCTTTATCAGAAGTAAATTCTGGATTATCAGACATAGTATTACTAATTGTGTCTTCTAGAGTCAACTTTAACCGCCGATGTACTCGCATCCGCGTACACCCTCAAACCAGCAATTGTTAAGGTAAAAACACTACTGCTCTAAATTTCGCACCATACTGTGGAAAGTAAGACGAGTTCCTGCGCAGCTGATGCGACGCAGAGCGTCATCATACCCAATGGCCTGTGCTTTTTGGGGGGGGGGGGGGGGGGGGGTTTAGTAGGTGATCGCGTGAGGATCTTCTTATTACCAGAGCCCTTTATTTTCGACAGAAAATATTAGATTATAAGACTCTACACCACTATCAAAATATTGATACGCATGCATACATATATCTATACTTCATGTCCGTCCCTATTTCCAAATGCCAAAACGAAACTTTAAAGAGAATAACGGTTGTAAGAATGGGTTTTTTTATGGCTGTGAGTTCGAAGACGGCTGTCTTCTGGTTGTTGCGCAGTGTGGTATGGTAGAAGTTTACCGTTGTTACAGAGGTCCTTTCTGCCTCTAACATCGTTCTGATAATGAAGGCAGCAAGGACCTCTGAAACGTCGGTAAATTTCTAGCAGATTACATGGCACAAGAACCCAGCAGACAGCCATCGTCTGACACACCGCCGTGAAAATCTCAAATCCTACTTAGGAAGGACAATCTAAAAATTAACAATAGTAGGCCCAATATTAATATATAGAAAAAGCGCACACGTGTGCATAAGAAAGTTTTCCTGTATCTAGTTCGTCCTAATCCTTGCTATACTCATTGATGGATTTGGTTCTGTTTTTACATTTTGTTCTGTGGTATCTGTCGCATCGTTGATCACATGGTTCCGGTCCTGGTTCGTTTTACAAATCTTGTGGTGGTAGCCGTGAACTACCAAGCACAATATTGCAAATTGTAATTTTTGTATCAATCCTACATACATTAAAAGGAAAAAATGTCGTCACTTCAAAAAAAACTGAAAGGGCTTCTCATAAACAGTTATTACTATTCGGTTAAAGAATACGTGAATGGTGATTTTACTACTCTTTGTTTCTTATATTTATTGTTGTAATCATGTTTGTTATAAATTTCTGCAATTGATGAGAGACTTTCTTTATATGATCTATGAAAGTTTAATGAGACTGATTAAATATCAGATTTAATTTAAAGTATTAAGATTTATATGCATCTCTACAAGAATTCGTCAGTAAGATGCGTCCTTGTTCTTGATTAAGACGTGTTTTTTGAGAACAGGAAGACATGTTCTGTTCACAGGGTAACATTAGAAATATAAGCATAATACAAATCACATTGGCTAGTTGAGGCCAGCTCCCACGACTCTGTCGCCTCTGTACTTCCTAGACTGTGTTCCAGAGATGGTTCTACACTTTGCCAACCAACACCATTTAGTTGCATATCTACATATTGGTTCGTTCGTGATATTAATCTGTGGTGTATTGAGCATCTGTGTTTTGAACTGTTTGTATTTCGTGTTTATTACAGGTGCTTAATGCTTAATGAAGATACGATGAGTTTTGAACAGTTGCTAATATTTGATAATCTGTGTATGATGGATTTTTGTCTGTTAATACTAGATTTTTTGTATTAGAGTTCGATTAATTTTAATTTCATAAATGAAACATTTACTCTCGTATTTTCGAACCTTAACCTATATGTTTATTTGATTCCGCGAAGTGTGAAACGCTTAACATTTGTAACTTAAAAGCATGTACTCGATATGCAAGCAGACTCATCCTGCAACCGGGGTGGAACATGCACTTACTTGCCACTTCTTCAATCGAACAGAGAAGTCTCTCATCGTGGCTGGTGCGAATATCATACGCGTTTTTCGACTTATACCGGATGCGGATTCAGCAAACAAGAAAGATGTATACACAGGTATTGTTGGTTTTATTAAGATTTAGATTTTACTAACCATAAAATTATCAGTGTTATATTTCTGATGGACTTTGGCCCTGCTCTTAGTTGTGTTATGAGCCGGCATAGCTCAGTCAGTATAGTGACTGGCTACTGACTGCACAATCGGGTTCGATCCCCGACGGGGGCACAGGATTTTTCCTCTAGCCTCTGCGTCCAGACTGGTTCTGGGGCCCACCCAGTCTCCTATCCAGTGGGTACTGGGTTCCCTTCCGGGGGGTTAATCACGGCTGGGGCGTCATGCTGACCACTCGCCCCCATCTAGTGCCGAGGCCAAGAATGAGTAGGAGCTATACCTGCGCTCCCCCCAATTGCCTTCATGGCATATAGTGAGACAGCTTCACTTTACTTTTACTTCTTAGCTATATTGATGGTTTCTGCAGTTCAATGGACTGTCTAGAGCAGCGTTTCTCAACCTATGGTACGTGAGCCAATGTTGAGTGGTACGCAAACTAAGTAAGAAATCAAAAGATAATATTAACATAAACACATTTGGTTAGTGGTACATTTAGTGTGTAAAATTAGAATTAGTGGTACACCAGCAAAAAATGGTGAGAACCCCTGGTCTAGAGTGAAGCCGAAGTATGGAAGGTGTATGTGCATTATACATTGACTAATGGATTCATTTCTCTTTTCAAATAGAGAAGCGACCACCAAAGATGAAGCTGGAGTGCTTAGCAACATATTCCTTGTTTGGGAATGTCATGTCAGTGCAAGCAGTCACATTGTCAGGATCAGCACGTGACTCGCTGCTTGTCAGTTTCCGCGATGCCAAGCTTAGCGTTGTGGAATACGATCCTGAAGCCCATGATCTCAGGACCTTATCTCTGCACTACTTTGAGGAGGAAGAGATGAGGGTATGTTTTGATCCTTTATATGCAGGATTTCATATGTAGTTCAGTGTCTCCTTCAGATAAAATCCAGGCTATTCTTTTTGGATGCATTTATTGACACCACTGTTAAGTAAATGATGAGAAGTGGTTCTTGTAGAATGGTTGATTTGAACTGTTGTTTTAGGTGCAGGATATATGGTGACCAATAGAGAGTTGTTGAGTTGTGGCGTCAGTGACAATAACTTTGCTCGAAATAATGCTTCTGTATGAAATTTAGATTTATATACCAGCATTAAATTAGGCTTTGATTTAACCTCAAATCTTACACAGGCTTTGATTTGTTATTAGTAGGGCGGGGAATGACAATTTCTTGTGTTTATATATTGTTAATAGCTGCTGCATGTTAAGATAGTTAAACCTTGAATGAATGGTATGTAGGCATTAAATTGCATTAATTTTTATTATCTTTTAAAGTAAGTTACTATTTAAATACATTCTACAGCACAGTGCACAGTGGGTTGACTCTGATATTAGGCTAAAGGAAGGGGTTCATACTCAGTAGGACTCACTTCTTAGGCAATGGAAAAATTGTAGTAAAGAAATACACAGCATACCCTCACTGTTTGCAGGGGTTACATTTTTGAAAACCCGTTTGAATAGTAAGACCATGATGTGCAAAATTAAGATCTTATGGGGGAAAATGAGGTTAGGGGAACCAAAGAAACATGAAAAATGTAATGTAATATGTATAATTAATATACATTAGTGTTTGGTGTTTATTGGGATGATGTTAGTGTTTCTGGCTGAACGTTATCAGTGTGATTGAATACAAGGGCAGTAATCAGTTCCAGAAACTCCAAAATGTACAGGAAGTTATACTTGGTATCGCTTATCTGCATAGTAAATTGTTGCATTAAATGAAAGCCAGTTTCCTGTTAGAAACATTCAGTAGTGGGGAATGAGTAACCTTTCCATTGCATAGCAGTTTAGTAGGTTTCAAGTTTTTATTTCAAAACATACTAAATTACCAGTTGCTTTAACAGCTGTTGTTCGAAAGCCCCCAAGGAGCACCTTGTGAGAAATGTTGTCAGGTTAATCATCTACGCATTAAGCTTTTTGTGATTCTAATATTCTGCCCTTCAGGGAGGCTGGACTCAACACTATCACATTCCAATGGTGCGGGTGGACCCTGAAGGACGGTGTGCAGTCATGTTAGTATATGGGCGGAAGTTGGTAGTCCTTCCATTTCGTCGTGAAACGGCCCTGGATGACCCTGAACTGCTAGATGTTAAACCCTGTAACAGTACTGTCAACACAAAAGCCCCTGTACTTGCATCATATATGATAGTTTTGAAGGAACTGGATGAGAAAATGGACAATGTTATAGATGTGCAGTTTCTGCATGGCTATTATGAACCTACCCTACTCATCTTGTATGAACCAGTCAAGACATTTCCAGGGTAAGATCATTCCTCATGTCAAGTTTCAAGAACCTGATCTAGAATAGAAGTCTTCAGACATTTTTATTATGTGTTCACAGTATATGGCTTCCTGTCTATGGCCTTAATGTTAAATCTGCTCTAGTTAATGCTTTTTTCTGTTTATAATGAATTCTTCTTGGGCTACCACCCATGTCTGGTGGTTGAATGGAGAAAACACAAACATTTCAAGAACCATCTTCTTCCTCATCCACAGGGTACTGAAGTTTCCTCAGTACCCTGAGGACAAGGATGGTTCTCAAAACACTGGTGTTTTCTCCATTCAGTCACCTGACACGGCTGGTAGCCCAAGAAGAATTTGTTATACTCAGTCGCTGTGAAAGCTTCAGATCATATTTTCTTCTATTTGTTATCAAAGAGCCATTAACTGGGGATTTTAATGTATTTGTGAAATGTGAAACAACGAAGACAAATGGTTTTATGAGCATCAGGATGGACAAGGTTTTTTTAACAGAATGGCAGACAGCGTAATGTGTTACATTAGTAGTGAAGTATGAAGAAGTATAGATGAGGGAATGGCAGTGATGACTTATTTACTGAAATTATTCTGCTTTACAGCATGTTATGTAATTGCATCATTCTGCTGCAGAGCTGATGATACTGTAATGAGGAAGCAACTGTTTTGGATTATGAATTTGTAAATTATTTCATGTTGAAAATGATGAAGTGTACTAATTTATCTTTCAGGGTTGAGCCATGTCAGAGTTTGCTGAAACAGATTATCTTCAACATTCAATGTGGGTTTTTGTACATTATAATTGAGGAGCAGGATAAAATTTCCCACGTGTTATATGTAAATACTGTGATTTTAGCCATTCAAGATTTAGCTTAATCAGTCAGTATTATAAGTACAGACGTAAATAATAATGACAGTTACATTTGTAGTTTGAGAGCTGCTTTTAAAATTTTATTATGTGCAGATAAAATTTCTGGTTCTCAGACTGCTTGTATTTTTACTAGAATGTCAGATTATACAAATGAAAGTTGTATTTCAGTCGCATTGCAGTACGCCAAGACACGTGCGCCATGGTGGCAATCTCCCTCAACATCCAGCAGAAGGTGCACCCAATTATCTGGTCTGTTTCCAATTTACCATTTGACTGCACACAAGCCATTCCTGTGAGGAAGCCACTGGGTGGGACTCTTATTGTGGCTGTCAATGCGCTCATATACCTGAATCAGAGTGTTCCTCCATTTGGTGTGTCCCTCAATAGCATCAGTGATGTGAGCACCAACTTCCCACTCAGTGAGTTTGCAACATGATAATATTAAAATGGACTGTAATAGTTCAGTAGTATGTGTTTCATGTCATATTTTGTGTTTATATTAATATAATGATGGTTAATGCTTTTATAGTTGTCTAGATCTGTTCTTTGCATCTCATTACATGAACCAATGAAACTAAAACTTAACTTAAAGTAACAAACCTAAGTGGGGGGGGGGGCGATACTGTATACGATACCATTATGGTCACATTAAAATTACCATCAAACAAAACAGTGTATGACTGATGGTCTGTCATGCAGAAGACAGCTTTTAAGTTGTGATTGTTTCAAGTTATTTTGACATGAACTTGTCATTTAACCTTGTTAGTAATTGTAAATAGAAATTTCTGTTGTTAATATTAATATATTATTTACTGCTACTAAAATCTGATGAAACATACATATGATTTTCACAAAGAAAGCTATGCTGACATATTTGAGAAACAGTGTAGTCATAGTAGCAGAGACAGATGCTAATTGTTCTTGCTTCACCACATGATGTCAGCAACCAACATAATCCACCATTGTTTGTAAATTTTAGTTCCAGTTTGTTCTAGCACGTGTGTGTAAATTGTCAGGTGCAGGGAATGTCCACCAGATCATAATTATAAATATCACATCTTAAAACTTTAAATCATTAATAAAACTAATCTTTTCCTGCTTTCCGTCTGGCTTACTTGTGTCATTTCAACTAAGAAATAAGCTGATGGATGAAAACCTTAAAATATCAAGTTTTCCCACATTTTTGCTTTGTCTGTCAAAGTCCATGCTTTTTCTGCACCTACTGTACCATCAATTATATGGTAAGCCATTTCCATATTGGTTATAGAACTTCAGCATTTATTTATATGGAGATTTTTCTGTGCCTTTGATTATTCAGGTGGTCTTTGAATTTGCAACTGCTACTGACTCGTAATGTTTTCTTAGTTCCTATGGTGTTATCTTAAAATAGCTTGCTTTGCTATTCAGTAAGTTACATTGTTTCCAGAGGTGCAGGAAGGGGTGAAGCTCAGTCTTGAAGGTGCACAGGCTTGCTTCATCTCACATGACCGGCTTGTCATTTCTCTGAAGGGCGGCGAGTTGTACGTCCTCACACTGTATGCTGACAGCATGCGCAGTGTGCGCAGTTTCCACTTTGAGAAGGCAGCTGCCAGTGTGTTGACCACATGTGTACGTATCACAGCTTGATTTGTTGTGTATGACCAAGTGTAGCAAGAATTGTAGGCTTTTTATATGCTTTTTCATAACCATTATATGTGTGGCTGTCTTCTGTACTTCCTCCACAGCTCTTCATCTATGTTGTAAACATCTAAAGGTCAGAACATATAAAACTGGAACTTACCTGTTATGTTATAAGTGCCTGAAACATGGTTTTATGCTCTTAGGGAGAAGTAGAGTTTGAGAATGTTTGAAAACAGACTTCTGAGAGCATGATAATGAGGAACTTAGGTTCTGTATTCACGGTGGTCTAGCGGTTAGAATGCTGGCCTTGTAATCCTGGGGTTCTGGGTTTGATTCCCAGCGGTGCCCGAATTTATAACTTGTGTTGGGCGAGGCCGTGGTCTAGGCAACACGGAGTTTTCCTCTGGGGCTTCCCCGGTTTCTCCATACAAACAGAAGAAGGTAATGGCAAACCACTTCTGTATCACCTGCCTAAAAAACATATAAACAGGTCCCAGTCCGAGAAAATGATGGAAGGATCCTGTTCATAATATGTCGCCAACCTCCTATAAAGAAGACAGCGTAATAAAGAGGAATAAAACCAAGAAAGGTTTGATTGATGGGAAATATTTCAGGCACAAGGAAAGAAAGAAGTGTATATAAAATCATTTGGTCAGAGAATCTCACAGGATGAGACTCCCTGAGAGACAGGTATAAAAAAATGAAGGGATAATTTTAAAAGTTATCTTAGGCAAACTGGCTATGAAGCTGTGAATTAGATTCAACTGGCGTAGAACAGTGTCCGGTAAGAGGCTGTAATGAATGTGGTGATGGACCTTTGTCTTCTACAACAATTGGAAATTTCTTGAACTGCTGAATAACCACAGTGAAACTTGATGAAGATGACACCACTGCTTAAGGTGTTCTTTATGTCATTTTGTATCAGTATTTTCCACTGTGATCTACATGTATTTTGCCCTTTTTAATTTTTCTTCTTGCAAGGTTTTTGCTCTGAAGAGCATAGAATGAAGGCCATGCAACTAACATTTTGCCTATTTAATACTATTTTATTAAAATTCTAAAAGTTTTTCTATTGTGGTATGATTTGACATCCCAATTTCAACCTTGAATACTGTACTGGTGAACCAAAACACGATACTCAGCATTCTTTCGGTGAACTGACAAAAATATGCACTTTTCATTTATGTGTTCATGATTCATTTAGAAAAGAATGCTCAGATTTGCATTGAAGCTAAATTGCATTCACTCCATCCAATGAATAGATTCATAGGTTTAAAAATGCTCTGAACTTATTACAGAAAAAGTAAGATTTTCACTGAACTGTATTCCTGTCACCTACACCTCACAAATTCCTGTTATGTGCTCCTTTTTAGACTTCACCACAATTTTTGCACAGTAATTTTCTTCAATACTAATCCACTGTGGAAACATCACTCTACTGTAGCTAGTTCTCAACTACATTTGTTAATGTGTTTAAATAAATGTAAATGAAAAGTTTTGTGTTTATAAAATATATAAGACTTGGAAATAATAAAGAAATTATTTTTAATAATGCTCTAGGAAAATGAATATCAGTTGAAGTGAGAACTTGACTTCATGCTTACCCCTTCAAGATGTTTTCTTGCTTAATAAGTCTTGCTTTGTTCAGTGTTTGTAAGTATTAAATGAGTTTCACTATCAGCTGCTCAAGGAAGATTCCATACTGTGGAATTAGTTAATTACAAAAAAAGTCAAATTTTCTTACTTGTTCCTGGTAATGAAATTTGGTTGAAGTTGAAGAGGTTTTTGTTGTCTCTTTGATTATGCTTTTTCAGCTGTATAGGTTCCATGGCATATGGATTTCTAACTATTATACTGCTGTGTCTAGACTTGTGTGTGTGAGGAGAATTATCTGTTCCTCGGGTCTCGACTGGGAAACTCGCTGCTGCTCAGGTTCACAGAGAAGGAGCAGAGCACATTGTTTACATTGGAGGAGAAGACGTATGCTCCAAAGCCTGACCATCCTACCAAGAAAAAGCGACTGGACACACTAGGTATGTTCTGTTATAGCAAGTAGGTGTTTTCCTACCTGTCCTGTCTCTGGATCATTAAGCAAGATATGAAAGTATAAACTTTGTGAGGAGAGTTGATAAAATTGTATGGGCATGTGCTACATGTGGACAACTGTAGAATTTTCTTGAGAATTAAAAAAACTGGGGAGACAAGAAACAAGGCAGAGGACCAACTGAGGAAAGATCGACCATAGAGGTTAGACACTAGCAAGGAGACTGCTGGTGGGATAACAGAGACAAATAAACATGGTTTTATCATTAAGTTTGGTCACACTGATTTACTTATCTATAGATGATGAGGTTGATATATTATTCATATTTAATAGGTAAAATGTGTGAGAAAGACTTTTTCGGTTTGAGATGGGAATTTGGAAATATTTCAAGACTGGACAAGAATGAGGATTTTCTTTACAAGACCAACTTTTCACTGTAGTAAATTTATAAGACTGCCCATTTATTCACAATGCATTAATGTGTACTACTTATCCTTTTTATCACATCCTCTTTCATTTATAAATTTCCACAATTTCTTCAGTTTAAACAAATTTGCATGTCAGACCATGTCCTTTTGATCACTTTTTAGACCCCTGGAAGCATCACCTTTATGTCAGATTAAATTAAAGAACATAGGAAGATGTAATGAGATGCTTCTGTCTTGTAGGAGACTGGATGGCTTCAGATGTTGCTGATATTCGTGACCTTGATGAACTGGAGGTGTATGGAAGTGAAGCCCAGACCTCAGTCCAGATTGCATCCTATGTGTTTGAGGTATGTTCTATGTGCATATGTCATAGCCATATAGTGAGATGTGTTTAAGAAATCTAGCTCAGATTACAGGTATTTATTCTTCCTTTCCTTAGAAAGGAAAAATAAATACCTCTAAGTTTAAATGCAGCCTAGTTTAAGGATAAGTTAATAAAGCATACATTTCCACATTTCAGAGTATCAAATTTGTGTGAATGCAAGCCACTCTTTCAAGATCTGCATCCCGTGAAACTAGGGCGTGGCTTCTAATCAGAATACTTTTTGTGTGCAAGATAATTAGTGTGCATTGTGGTTAATTGGGACATTTTACATTGTGTTGCTTGACATAGTGAATATTTAATTTATTACAATAATAGTAAACATATGTAGAACAGTTTCACAGAAGAAAGGATGAAATAACTTTGAGGCCCTTGAATGGGGAGTGGTGAGATGATAATTTTTCAACAGTCTTATCTTTCGCAGAACCCAGTCAGAACAAGCACGCAAAGTCTGGATCATTAAACTACATCATCACTTGAATAAGTTTGGGGGGCATAAAGATCATTCTGCTCTGTGTTCTGAAAATCTTATGATGGCCTAATAAACATCAGCGTGTTCACTGGTTTGTCACATTAACTGTTGCTATTCTGAGGAGTAAAAGCAGATGCTCATTTATGCCTCGCTTCTTTCTTTGAGTCTCTGTCTCTCTCACTCTTGTTTTACCAGTCATCACCCAGACAAATACTGTGCCACTGTAGTCAGCATTCAGTGATGGATGTGTATGTGGTTTAAATCTAGACATCACAATTTAGTAACGAAGTAAACCCCTTGATATTTTTTGCCAGATGTAATGAACACGCCATCTTGTTTTATTAATAATTATTAATTAATATTATAATCACAAGTCTATATATAAACCCCATTCTAAAGGTGTGCTCTGCAGAGTGCATATACTTTCCACAGGTGTTCTTTATGCCACATCTGTTAGGAAATGGATAGTAATAATGTTCTTATGATTATTGTTATAATTATATTTGTCTCATTAGGTGGTGACATTATCATGATGAACATGACAGAGAATGCAGGATGTGTGCATAAAGCATTCTTTGCTTGTGTTAAAGCATAAAGAATGCTTGAAAGTAATGTAAAATTGCATTCATAATTTGCAATAAAAAAACAGTATTTAAAAAAATACGAACTTAATTTATTACTTCACGTTTATGTCGGACATCTAATTGAAATTAAATTTTTGAAAGGCTTGCAGTCAGTGTGAGAGTACACACAGTGTGATTAATTCTTATTGAATTTTTTGAACTTGAAACAAATTTTAAATTTGACTGTTGCTTGAGGAAAAAATAATTGTAGAACTTTGTTTCCCTTAGTGGCTATGGGAAAATAAATTTCTCGTTCTGAATCTAGCCGAGTGTTTGATCGATGTGATTTCCAAATAAGTTCTCTCTGTCACAAATCCCTGGAATTGAAGCAGAGTTACCTCATCTATTGCATGGCTTTGTGAAACATTTATCATTCTAATGGGGCATGTTTGTTGCAGGTGTGTGACAGTCTGCTGAACGTTGGGCCTTGTGGCAATATCTCAATGGGAGAACCTGCATTCTTGTCTGAAGAATTCTCCAACATTCAGGACCCAGATATAGAGCTCTTTACCACATCTGGCTATGGGAAGAATGGAGCATTGTGCGTTTTACAGCGTTCAGTGAGGCCTCAGGTATTGCATGTGTTCCTGAATTATGTTGGTACTATTTCCCTTTCATCACCCTCATAATGGAGGCAGCAAGGACCTATGAATGATTGGTAAACTTCTACTAGATTATATGCTACTACAACCTGAAAGACAACTATCTTCCTAAAAATGTTAACATGTCATGAAAACTGAATCGTCAGTGTCATGATATTAAAATAGGTAATGAGTTATTTATTACGTCAAAATATTGACTAATAAATGTGACGGTCACAGTGTAACTAAAAATATATGTAGAAAAAGTGTTAACTACTGTTAATATTTTGTGGTTGTGAAACATGGTCTTTCAGTCTAAGTAATAAAACATAAATTTAAACTGTTTGAAAATAATGTGCTGGAATGTAAGTGGGGAATGAATTAACAAATTTATCCTTGCAGAAACATTAAGTAAATACTTTACTATCTACGTGTCATTAGCTGACTGCAGATTCTTGTGCTGCAGGTGGTGACAACATTCGAGTTACCGGGCTGTATGGACATGTGGACAGTGATTGGAACGAAGGATGCGATTGAGGATCCAAACAAGGGAGAACAAGAGTATACACATGCGTTTATGATTCTCAGTCAACAAGACTCAACCATGGTAAGCTGTTAAACTTACTCACTATAGAAATACCAGACTGCGGGAAGATGGTTGTATGGCTTCTTGTTCTCTGTGGAGTACTTGCTTGAACTTTTTATATTCATTGTCAGACAAATTTGTAACAGACCCCTAAATGAAGGTTTAACTGCTTCATAGCCATGTCCTATGTCCGTACCTCTGAATATGATGTCTTTTCCATTATGACAAAGTTGGTTTAAAAAAGTTCTGCATTTGTCCTGAGGCACATATTCAAGAGATAATTACAGTGGTAAATGTTGACATCTTTCAGCCTCATTTTAAACCAGTAGATTGAACATACGGTGGTAGTTTCTACCCAAAACATTGCTAGGTGCAACTAAAATTTTGACGTATTTTAATGTAGCTATATGAAATAAATAGTTTTGTAGGTGGAGCAGTAAATGCTTATTGTTGATTGGCAAACAGTTGTATTGGTTAGGGCTAGGCAGTGGCTATAGAAATTTGAAATGTGACAGACATATTTTTGTTTGCTGTAATGTGTGAGAATACCACACTGAGAAGCAAATAGGTGTGATATGAATGGGCAAGGTATTGCACTGAGTGGTGAAAAAATCACACTCAAATATATGCTGTAGATCAATGGTCCCCAACGCGGGCGCCATGGCACCCGCCAAGGCTTTTTTTGGGTGCCCACGTTGATACAGAAAGCGGTTATACTGAATAATGAAGGCTGTCCAACCATGAACATTATAAAATCAAAGCACAGATCTCGACTTACTGACGCCCATCTTGACGATTGTTTGCGAGCAGCAATATCATCCTACGCTCCCAAATTTGAAAAACTGGCCAATGAAATGCAGTACCAAACATCACACTAACTTCCCACTTGAGTAATAATAATTGTAGTTATAAAAGTACGTATTTTTGATTGCATGGTTTCTTGTATCATTAAACGTTGTGTTGTTTTGTGTATTATTTGGTGTCCTTATCTTATTTGTAAAGAGAAAAGAAAATTTGGTTTCGTTAATTGGTTTGTGCCCGCCACGATCTCATAAACTCTCAGATGTGCCCATAGGCACAAAAAGGTTGGGGACCACTGCTGTAGATGGTCTTGAATGTGTAAGTAAGTGAACTCGGACTGTAAGAGTAACTTTATTACAGCTGTAGAATGATAGAAGATGAACAAATAGACACTTTTTTAGTTGATTTGTAGGAAATTGTAAACAGTTAGATATCATCCTTTTCATTCTGTATGAGAAGAAGTAACCCCATATAAATTAAAATATATTCCTCTGTTACATGAAAGAAGCCTCAAATATCTACTAGGCTTTTTCAAAAGGTAAGAGATAAAATTTGGTTTTAAGGAAAGACTGTATATGAACCCGAACACGCAACATGCAATTGGGTAAAATTTTCAGAATTAACTTTGAAATTCTTAAAAATAAAATGATTCTTGGGTGAATACTTTCATTGCAAGTCAACTCCACTTGCACTATATATATGTACCACATATTCTCAACCAGTGAGAAAGTGAAATATAGAAACTAATTTTTCACTTCTACCTGCAATACAGCAGATAAACCAGAATCTCAGGACTGGCTTGAAGGGACTCTTGTTGAGTCAGTAGGTGGAAACCCTATGAGATGAATCATCATTAAGACACTGATTTCAACTCTAGAGTATAACATTCTGTTTACATAATTCTAAAATGATAATTTTTTAAAATGTCATGTGTTTTATGGACGCTGTATATTGAGATTGGTGTTTGCAATTTCTGTATGTCATTGTGATCAGGTCTTGGTGTGCACTGAAACCATTTATCCTGTTACAGGTCTTGCAGACTGGCCTGGAAATCAATGAGGTGGACAATTCTGGCTTCAGCACACAGGGTCCTACTGTGTTTGCTGGCAACCTCGGCTACAACAAATACATCATTCAGGTGAGTAATAGCAATGGAATAAACAGTGTGTGAACTGTCATTTCCACACTTGTGGGCCAACTTTTGCACAGGCGTTTCCAAATGCCTCTATGCACCCATTTTTGCATTTCATCTACCCTCCTCCATTTTTGCCTTTTCCTCTTTCCATCTCTTTTAACTTGGTCTGTCCATAAATGTGAACCTTCAGGTTTCATGACGGAGTCTTTCTCTTTTCTGAATGACTATATACTGCAGTTAAATGAAACATTTCCCTGTATTGTTAGGTGGAGACACTGAAGTGTTTTGGTTTTGTGGTGTGTAGGTGTCACAGATGGGCGTGCGACTGCTACAGGGTGTGGAGCAGGTACAACACATCCCTCTGGATCTGGGCTCACCCATTGTGCATGCGTCATCTGCAGACCCACACGTGGTGATTCTGAGTGAGGATGGCCAGGTGATCCTGCTGACACTGAAGGAGAGTCGTGGCCAGGGAAGACTGAGCGTCACAAGGCCCACCCTCTCTCTTGTGAGTAAGAAAGAGCTGAGTGCTTCTAGCACCATCACATTAACAAAACTACTGTAATTTTGTCCTGATCATAATAATGAAAGTTACTAACATTTCTTACAGCAGTAGCATCTGTGGGCTCTGCCATTAATATATTTCAGCATGCCACAGCACAAACTAGAGTGGTAATTACACAAATTAAACAAGTTAATGGAAAACCAGAAATTGTTATACCAACTGTTCTCATAACTGTAGAAAACTGTAGTATTGCCAGGTAGAGTTGTTTGTTGTTTCTTGGCTCTACAACCCAGTCATGGGTTTTTGCCGCTCCTTTTCAGAGGTTTCCTAGTCTTTGACGTGTGCATTTGTGAGTAGTGAGTGACCAGCCCACTGACTGCACAATTTCTACCCAATCCTGATTTGACTGCTAGAGCCATCTAGTAGTGAATCAGGAGAGACTTGAGTGAGAAATGGCTGCTGAAGTTTGCTTACAAAACATCTCGTTCATGCTCACAAGGTTCTTTTACATGCCGTAAATCTACGGCATGAGATCACCGGCTTTACTTCCCCTTCGAAGGAAGTTGTGCTACAGATTTTTATCACCCTTAAAAATCCATCGACCTTGGACAGGTTTGAACCTGCAAACCTTGGGTCCAGTGGCGAGCACACTAACTGCTAGTCCACTACCAAGTAGTGTACATTGCTCATTTCTGGAAACTTATTTTACATAAATTTTGTGTCGTTCAGAGCATAGGTTTTCACATTCTGAGCTTTTGAAGTGTAATGAATTTTTTGGATGCTTATGTGATCAAATCTGAGGCTTGTACCTGACCTATAAAGCAGCTAAATTTGTAGCTTTAGAAAACAGAGTACAGTATTCATGTGTTAAATGGGGATAAGATTCTATATACTTGAGCCTTTTGTATTTGGCATAGTAAATGAACATGATATTTGTAAACAATTATTGTAAGAATAATTATTGCTTATCAGCATGCATTTATAATATGAATCGAAACAGGTAAGTGTGAAGTGACATTAATATTTTAGTTGGTGATAAAATCTTATGCCAGCTCCATTCTCACCTTTGCCTAATTCCTTGATGTTTCAGAGAAGAGTTGAACAATATTCCCACCATTCACAGTTATTTATGCCACCCTTTAACAGAGCTTCCATGCTGAGATATTGCCATTATATAATGTTTCCTCTTAGAGACCATACATCATCACGCTGTGTGCTTACCGGGATGTGAGTGGGCTCTTCTCCTCCAGCCTCCCTGAAGATGAAGTTGAGGTCAAATCCAAGAAGGATATCAAGTTAGAAGAGAACTTGAGGAGGTAAGCTGTAACATTATCATTCATGTTCTGATATTTGAATGGTCGGTGGGCAATGACAGCAGAATGTGGGATTATTTTAATAAAAGATGGTATCTGGTATGTGCAGCTTGACTCCAGAGTTATTTAATTTGTTCATTGCTGTCACAGTTATTATTATTTATATACATTACTTCTCATTTTTATGTGACTTTCATTACAAACAGTAAGCTGTGGAAAAGTGCGCAGAATTTGTTGTTGCTGTTGCTAAAATGTCAGATTTCAGGAGGTGATTGTCGTCTGTTGTTGCGAAGCCACAATTTGGCAAATCTGGAATTCCAGTTTTGTCTAGATGTTTCATAAGGCAGTAATATCCAGTAAGAAATATTTCCAATTTTTGCAATAGCAATTGCTTGAAAAAGTAAGTTTGACTGAAACATGGTTTTCAGCTATTTAATTCATTTATTTCATATATATTTCTGCATATTAATGTTATATTTTTGCAGTGTGTACATTTTTTCTTTGGAATGGGGGTAGTTCAGACTATGGGCTGGACTGAGGTTCAGTTCCTGGCAAGGTAAAGGATTTCTCTTTTAGCATCTGTATCTAGCCTCCTGTCCAGTGGGTACTGCGGGTCTTTTCCCCAGGGGTGAAGCACAGCTGTGGCTTGACACTGACCACTCACCCCGATCTGGTGCTGAGATCAAGAACAAATAGGAGCTGTGCCTCCACAGCATTTACCAGGGCGGCTTTATGTATTTCTTTTACATTGTTTCTTAACATAATTTTTAGATTTGGTATGTGAAGTGAGTAGTGACCTGAGTTGGATGACTGTGGTCCAATTTCTAGGAGGAGTATAGACATTTTTCTTTGCCGTTTCATTCGTACCAATTCTGTAGCTCATCCGGTGTCTACCATGGGATGCTTCCTTATGGGTAAAGTGGCTGGAGCATGGAGCTGATGACTTACCTCCATGTAGTGTTGCAGGAAGCTTTGCTCCCTGTACTGCTTCATTGTGTCATATTCAAGTTCAGGGGTATCTTGTACGTTTATGATTATATGTTTTTTACAGTTGTCTGAGACTCTCCCCATTTAACTGCTACATACATCTGTCATATCCACCACATTTTCCTTCTTTGATTTCATTTCAACTTATAGACATTTAGGTAGAAGACAGTAGCACAAAAATTAATCTAGAAGTAACAGGTTATGATGATGTGGTTTTAAATCAGCTGGCTCAGGATGAAGAATATTTATGTAGGATTTGATGTTTTCACAGCGGTGAGTATGAAGATTTCTGTCTTCTGGGTTGTTGCGCTGTGTAGTCTGGTAGATGTTTACCAACGTTTCAGAGGTCATACGTTGGTTAACATCGACCAGACTACACAGCGCAACAACCCAGAGGACAGAAATCTTCATACTCACCGCTGTGAAAACTTCAAATCTTACATTGTAATAATTTTATGACGAAAAATTAGTAAAGGTGCAATATTCTAGGAAATAAAAAAAAATCCAGTATAAAACGTTTTTACTAGAGCACTCAGATTAAAAAAATAATTATTTTTGGTTACATGTACCACCTTCTCTCCCTACCAGATGGGAGTTACGTGGCATTATACCTTTACGAATAATCAAATACAGTATCAAATATTGTTAAGAACAGATATATAAATGCATGGTACAACAGATAAAAGCTGTATTATCGGAACTGATGGACAGGTGTGTAGGTAGATCGCAAACCAGTCAATTCGGACGAATGGCTAAACAAAACCGCAGAGGTGTGTGGACTGTGGACGTACTTAGGTCGATGCGTGGGCGGATGGAACGTGTTGGCCGCTGGAAATGATTTCCAGTTGTTATCTCACGCCATCATGAAGATTTCTGTTTTCTGGGTTGTTGCGCTGTGTAGTCTGGTAGATGTTTACCAACGTATGACCTCTGAAACGTTGGTAAACATCTACCAGACTACACAGCGCAACAACCCAGAAAACAGAAATCTTCATGAATAATATTTGTTTTGCATTGTTGAACCATTGAGTCCTAATTGCAGGCAGAAACTAATTTAGTAAACTTATGCAGTGTATTCCTCATTTGTTGTCAGAGAGATTGATGATGAAGATGAGATGCTGTATGGAGAAACAGAAGCCCCGCTATTTGAACCACCCGTCATCCCAGAACCAAGTAAGAGTACTGTAACATCAGTGATCGGTGAGACGCCATGGTGAGTTGTTTGGATCACACTTCATTCTGTTTCCATTTTCTGCCATTGTAACTTAAAACTTGTGTGAATTGTTGATGAAGTCTGAAAGTGTCTTGATGATGGTGCATTACAATCTGTAAAATTGTTTTCTTGGACTTTGCCCATCATCTAAATAAAAATAAAAATTCTTAATTTAGATGATGGACAACGTCGAAGAAAGTAGTTTTACAGATTGTGTGAGTTGTGTTTTTAATAATCTTTATATTTGCAGTATGTTAATGAATTATTGCTATTTGCCCAGTTTTAACATGTTCAACCATATTATATGTCTAAATAGCACATCAGCTTTTGATTCTTACAAAAACATCATTATGTATCAATTTATATTAAACCATCGGGAGATGAAACAGTGAGTAAAGAAATGTTCTCTGACATCAGGTACACTTATCAGCCAAATGCATTCTTTGTGATGTTTCGTTATTGTTGGGATTCTTGTTTATTTTTGCTGATGCAAATCTAGTAGCAGGATAATTTGAATCGGGCTTGACTTCTTTACTTCAACAAACATCTTTATTTACTTTTTGGTTGTTATATCCAAAAATATTTAAAACATGAAAGAGTATTACTCATATGTATGTCTTGAATGACATTATCTTTTCAGTGAAACTAACTTTGATTATCTGAATCAGTTACTATTAAATACATTACTGTGTATTTTCATAACCACCAGAAATGATTGGAACTGAATGCCAGTAATCAGTTCCATTATCGTTCACATATTATAGAAATAAATTGTTCTAAATCTGTTTACACTGCTCAGAGTCAGAAATAGTTTTTGCTTGTACTTTATGGGGTATTCACAAGATTAAAAAAAATTCTGATAAAAGTTGTAGATTTCACTGAGATGTACATTTTGTACTGTGTCCAAATTTGTTGTATGATGCGCTAATAAAGTTTATTTAAATCTTTGTTTAAAATAAGGTTTATGTTTGACTGATACAAATCATAATGTTGCATATTTAAAAGGAACCTTACTCTTCAACCAGGGGACATTTAAGTATTTAGACCCCATAAATTGGAATACTAAAAACTGTCATAAATTCAAATGCAAAATTTTACATTCCAACTTGACTCTCTGAGTACCAGATTTGATGGTGATATTGTAAGTACCCTGAGGTGGCAGCATGAAACATTTTGATGCACAAAATAAGTTGTTGCTCCAAGCAGTGGACTGAAGCACTTTCAGAAGCATAAAATGTAGGTTTACAGTAAAGCACAGACCTCCTTTCATATACCAAGTTGAGGTGTGTTTTCCCCCCTCTACGTTGAACAAAGGTAAGTCACAAACAACAGACTCGGAAGGAAGAAGCTGGTAAAAACATAAGCAATGCAGGCACATGCCTAAACGCACACACACTACATCTGAATCCTAAATGTAATAATTTTACATCCAGTAGTATGAAGGGAAGCATTGGATTATCTCTGCATGTGTGCAATTGCTTCTTGGGTTTCCCCTCTGTCCCATTTGTGTTTGTAAGAGTCCTCCAAGCTCCGAGTTATTTTGTGTCCATTGTAAATTCTGAGTGACGGCAGTGATATGCAAACAAGAACAGTTTAATTGAGATGCTTTGTAGGTGAGTATCTCTTACTGATGTCAGCAACATATGGCATACATGAGAGTTGGTATGGCTTACTGAGGCCATTGGCAAAGTTTTAATATATAGGATGCCCCAGAAAGATGTATATACACATTTAATGAATGAAATAAAGATATTTTATTAACTAAACCATTACATTCATCAACATTGACACTTCATGAATTAGTGAATCTATTGTAGGTGTTCAAAGTGACCTCTATTAGCTTCGTGGCACATTTGACACAATGATCAACTGACTGTCAAGTGGCCCCCAAAGTTGCTGCTGGGATGGCTGTGCAAGACCATTCTGTTTCTTGCCAGAGTTCTTGAAGTGTTACTGGCTTTGTGCTGTACGCCACTAGCTTCAAGTAAGCCCACAAGAAAAAGTCGAGCAGGGTTAAATCTGGCAATCATGGGAGTTACTCAGCAGATCCTCTGTGCTATATCCATCGGTCAGTTTTGTCAAAATAGGCCCTGACATCACAATGGTAATGTGGGGTACCCCATCTTGTTGATACCACATGTCCTCATCTCCATACAGCTGATGAATGGTGGCAACAGTTCCATGTTATAATATGTGTACATCTGTTTTGGACATCGTGTAGATCCATCTTTCCCCAGAAACAAAATTTCATTTAAATCTGTCGGTAGTTCCATAGATGAAATGGGCAGGGAGGTGGACAGCATTTCCTCGCCATTTTTTACTTGTTTTATGAATTTTTTACAAAGAACACTAAACACCTGTCTTGTAGTTATTATTAGTAAGTTAACTACAGATGTACGTATATGAACAGACTATTCAAGATATTTAATGTTTTATTAACTACATTTGTAAACATGTAAAAAGATTGTTTTGAAGACATGGACACAGCACATACCTTGATTGAGTGAAACTCATATGACAATCATTTTGATTTTATTACTCTTGAGTTAAAGAAGATTTATCAATACATTATAGTGTATCTGGGAAATATAAAAAAGTTTTCTTTATGGAGGCTGATTATGAAGAGGTTTTACTGTGTTTGTGTTCCCATTAGGTTTCAATTTACTGTTTTACTTGAATGTGTTCAGTATCAGCTGCAAATTAATCTGGATATCATGTCACATTATGTACCTGGCAGGTGGAACAAGTACTTGCAGGAAGTGAAGCCCACATACTGGATCCTACTTACACGGGACAATGGAAACCTTGAGATATACACGCTGCCTGACTTCAAGCTCAGCTATCTGGTGCGTAACTTTGGACAGGGGTTGCGCGTGTTGGTGGACAGTTTGGGAGCCATTCCTACTTCTGTTGGAATTTCTGAGAATACTCCTCCTATAGCTTATGACAGTCAGGTACGAGAGATCTTGATGGTGTCACTGGGTCATCATGGCAGCCGCCCACTGCTGGTTGTTAGGCTTGATGATGAACTACTGCTATACCAGGCATACCGCTACCCTCGAGGTTACCTGAAACTCAGGTTCAGGAGGTTGGCACACAACATCCACATCCGAGAGAGACGATATCGGTAAGAACTTGCTATCATCATTTGTTACATTTTACTGTGGACCACAAATTTGCTTTACAGTATTCCATGGTACATACAGGGTGATTAAAAGCTGTAGAACAATTCCCACTGAGGTTATTTGGGAGATAGTTTAGAGCAGAAAATGTAAATAACATTTTTCCACATTTGCCACTGTTTACATCGATTTTGCTTTGTGTTGTTGTGATCATTTAAGTGTGTGTGTGTGTGTATGGATGTGTGTGAAAATAAAAATTTATATAAGACTGTATTAATAATACCTGAACATTGCTGTAGACCATATTTTCCCCATCTCTGCACTTGGTGAGTCATGTAAAAGCACATCATATTATCACACATGAGGTGTTACAATACAAAAACATTGTTTTCAGCCTTCGTCCCTTACTTTGTAAGAAAAGATTGGATTATCTTATAGAATGCACAGTACAACATAAATTTATATTACAGGTCAAGGAAGAAACCGATGGACACAGAACAACGGTTGGAGTCACGTGTCTGCCAGCTGCGCTACTTCAGCAATATTGCCGGCTACAATGGGGTATTGTTCAAACTCTGTTTTTAGGAAGGTTTTCTAGCCCAGTACTTTCCTGATGTTACAGATATTCAGTATGTAGGACTTCTGATTTACACGGTGATGTGGTGGGTTTTTGTGCCATGTAGTATTTTCAGAGGAATGTACTGCCTCAGGTGAGGAGTGTTATGAACTGAATGTTGTATGTAAAATTGGAAGAAGGATCAGGCAAGGGGATTGGCAAATTATATCCATGCGTGTCTGTTCCAATCAGAAAGATCACTTTCAAAGGCATCAGAGATGAAGTCTGGATCAGGACAGAACAATCCACCCTTTTAACCCTTTGACGTCTTGTGACGCCCTGGCATTTAAATTCCCGGTCTGCTGTTAAGCCTAATTTCAAAAGCCCATAATTATGGAAACAATAACGACTGATATATGATGTTTGTAGTTGATCTGGTGTGGAAGAAATGCTCTTTCTGATCATGTATTGGCAACGTCACATTCTTCGATCTCTAAAGGCTAGTCTGTGAATAAATGCGTGACCTAAGAGGTTACACAATCTTCCAAAGAACACTGAGCTGTTTGTTTGTAGAGGTAAGATAACTCATTCTCTCAGTCTCATATGACACGATAACTGCTCCAGCGAAGTAGAGAGGAAAAAAAATTATCTGAAACGGTCAAGGGGCTCCATAATATATATATATATAGATATACCGTTATGTTTATCTGTGTCTTCAAATATCAACAATTTTAGCACCCCTATACTCAGAAGTCTATAATCAGAAGAGTTCTTAGAAAGAGACGGTTATAACTGCTAAGTATGATGCATATATGTGGCCTTCAGTTCGCTGTCAGAATATCAGCTGGCGCAGACATATTTACTCCCGCGTATTATTGACACAGGAAAGAAATTCAATGCCTCAAAGACATTGCGTCATGTGCAGGAACCGCTAGAAAAAGATAAAAACTATGTATTTTGGTAGTGTTGACTTTTGCTAACGTTTCAATAAATAACATACAACTCTCAACGTCTAATCGACTACTAGCATTTGTCACACACAGGATGTTCATATTATACGCTGAAATTATAAAACCATCTTTTAAGAGGATTTCAGTGAAGAATTGATCATTATATGTTATATAGTTCAAACGTTATGATAAATAAAGTGTTTTAGAGCAAAATTTAAATGGCCACCACTCCTCGTCAAGCAGCGCGGAATTTAAATTCCCACGTTGAAGGGTTAAGAGACTGGAAATAAAGGTATGATTAAAAGTATGTCATGGCCTTGAAGAGTTTTTTTCTCTCTCCCATTTTGTCAGACTTCTTATGATCTGCTTAGAGTTAACCCATTTTTTCTGCTGGTGTTGTGATGGAGCTTGTTTTCTGTTGATTCCCTCGTTGATCTGGTCAGTGTATCTAGATTTATTGGCTGGATTAATGGTCCTTTCTGCACTCATTGCTCTGATGATGAAGGCAGCAAGGACCTCTGAAACACTGGTAAACATATACCAGACTACATGTCACAACAACCCAGAACACAGCCATCTGAGGACAGCAACACGTTTTTGTATGTGAAATAGAATGTTTTCAGCTTTAGAAGTTTTTGTTTGTTTGTTGGTTAAAAGGTTATTGAACCACTCATGTAAGTTTGTATTGAATGAGAGGTGATTTGTGCTGTGAATTTGAAGGGCTGGGGAAGTTGTAATCATGATGTGTTTACTGGTAATGAACAAATAGAACAATAATAGTACCAACAGCGTCTCTTTCTGTGTAGAATGGGAAAATAATTTCTTAATAATGTTTTGTTTCCTTAAATTTAAACTTAATATAAATTGGTTCAGTGTGCAAATATCATCACAAGTTACACTGTCATTAATCTTCGTAGGTGTTCATCTGTGGTCCATATCCCCACTGGCTGTTTCTCACCTCACGCGGAGAGCTGCGGACCCACCCTATGGGTATAGATGGGGCTGTAACCTGCTTTGCTCCATTTCACAACATCAATTGCCCTCAAGGGTTTTTGTACTTTAACAAGAAGGTATGTTATTAACTAATAATTCAGCATGTGCTGTAACGGTATTGGCACTGATATAATATTCCTTATTTTTATGGTGTAAATGTACTAGTAATATAAGTGTATGTCTCAAATAAATGTTATACCAGTGCCAACATGGCAGTAAATGTCTGAGCATAATAAAATAAAAACTGTTGTGTCATATAGTACCTGATGAGGAAGGAGTAGTTTAAACTGTCATGCTATAAAAATATTGTTGTAGCATTGATTGATATAAGTGAATACATTTTTATCAAAATGTTCTTAATTGTTTACGTGGTTAGTGTCTGTGCCACGGCTTAGTCCCCTAGACACCAGTAAATAGAATTTTTAGCAAGTGTAGGTAATGCTTTAAATATTGCTTTTATGGAGGTTTCTTAATGTCCCTCACATTGTGTAGTTCAGTGCCTAATGAAACCATAATTTATTTGTTCATTTGATTCTTTAGAGAGGCAAAGTGCCTTTTTTGTGATCTAATACCATACACCACAATTATTTTGGACATTTGGTATACACAATAGTTTAATATTAGGCCCTATTCCTGTTTCTACCCGATCATTTGTCATACTGACAGATTTTACTTATTTTTATTCTGGAGATTAGTGGCAACAATTAGGATGAAACCTGGAACACTTTGACTATTAAACTTTTATTGTAACTACCAAAAGTTCCTGTGAGAGTCATATAAAATGCCAGAAGACATGAGAAGAGGCAACTCTCAAGATGGCATGTATATCAGATTTTTCACAGACAGTGGGCAATTTCTGATGTAACTCTCATGTATTAAATCAGCCATTTTCACAAACCCTTATAGAGACTTTGAATGTGTGGCTCATTGCATGAACCACATTATCAAAATGTGTTTTGCGCAGGCAGAGCTGCGCATTTGTGTGCTGCCAACACACTTGTCATATGATGCACCGTGGCCGGTAAGGAAGGTTCCACTGCGCTGTACACCTCACTTTGCAACGTACCATCTGGAGAGCAAGACGTACTGTGTCGTGACAAGTCTGGCAGAGCCCACCAACAAGTACTACAAGTTCAATGGGGAAGATAAGGTCAGTATGTTTCCTGTGCTGAGCTGTTTGTCGCCCCATGTCTGTTATTTTGAAAAGAATTGTAAGATTTGAGGTTTTCACAGCGGTGAGTATGAAGATTTCTGTCTTCTGGGTTGTTGCGCTGTGTAGTATGGTCGATGTTAACCAACGTTTCGGAGGTCATACTGCCTCCATCATCAGGGCGATGAATATGCCAATAGGGTGGGGGGGGCTAGGTTTATAGGTGCTGGAATGTGAATGGAGTAGCCTGCCCCGAGCCAATGGGAGCAGTCGTGGGAGTGGACCAATAGGAGCATGTGGGCGATTGTGAGAGAGGGAGTGAAAGGAAAGGGAGGGGGGAGGGGGGCTCAGGAAGTGCGTCCAGTGGGACATGGGAGTTCGATTGAATGTGATTGGGGCCCTGAAAAGGACCAGGTTAGTGGTCTGGTTGTTTCTGGCGGTGCACTCTTGCTCACTCTCTGAAACGTTGGTAAACAGCGCAACAACCCAGAAGACAGAAATCTTGAAAAGAATTGTTTGCATACCTTGTGATTTTACATTCATTGTGCAGTTATCTGAAGCTTGTTGTGGTGCATGTTATGGCACAAAAATTTGTCATTTGATTTTCCAGTTTTCCATTCCTGTTCTGTGTACTACTCACTTCCGTTAAATTAATAGAAAGTATAACATTGTGGCCATGCAGCATGTGACCACTTGATCACTGGCTTGTATCCTTCTTGAGGAATGGATGTATGCCCACATTTTTCTGTGCTACGCTGTACATTGTGTTGTTCGTGGATAAAATTAGTGATACGTTAAATGTTTGATGTAAGAAGTGTGGCCTATAATGAGGAATATTTTTCAGTTGTGATGAGGTATCTGTTTCATTATTTTTATGTAACAAGTGCCTTTGATTGCTTTCTTCAGTAACGTAAATGTATGTCTGACATTGTGGCATAATTGATATTTCATTATGTTTATAAAATGAGTCTGATTGTTGATCATTTAAAACTTCCGGGCAAAGTGACTTAGTTGCTGTTACTATTCTGCGTTAGCATTGTCCCACTGCAATACAGTATCATTATCTTTGGTCAGTATCAAATGAAAAATGTCCATTTATTCAATAGTTGCTGGCTACCATTTCAGTCGTCGTATGATATTACTGAATAATGAAAATGGAAATTAATCTAAATGTTCACAGACTTGTGTGATGACATAAATACAGAGAATTGAGGTTAAGTAGCAATTTGTATACAGAAAATCTGTCTGTTTTTACACTTCTGCCAGTTGAGTTGTTTGGTATGAATCATAACATGGATTGTTGATTTGCAGTAAATGTTAACAGTTTTTGAATATGTATGAGGTTAATTGAAATTACTGCGGTATGAATGAAAATATGAAGTAAACTTAATTATTTTTACCTTTACAGGTGTTGAAGTCCTCAAATGTTTTTTCATTGTAACAACATTTTTTCCAAATGTTGTGAAGTCTTGTTATAACATACTTATGCTGTACATGCTGGTATAGACTTTGAACTATTATTTTAAAATGTAGGCAAAATGTGTCAGAATCTATTATCATGATTATTTCTCCACAGCAATAGAAGAGATTTAAGAAATGTTTCAGCCTCAGACAATAGTGTATGGCCATTGTATGTTCTATACCCACGTACGGAGATCTGTGTCAGTGGCAGTGAAAACGGGTTAAAGTAACATTTTTCGCACTTTTCAAAAATTGTTCAAACAGTTCTGTTAATAGAAGCTAAAGGTTCAATACCACTATCACCATTAAATTTTGTCCTGGGCCACAACTAACTTTGTTAAAACCTAACTGTCTGAGTAAGTAGTACCAGGTGACTTGTATAAGTCACTCCTCGGTTATTTCATTTCTTGAATTGCCTCTGCAATAAGTTTGTTTTTAAATGTTCAATATTTTAAACACTTATAGGAGCTGACAGTGGAGGAGCGAGATGACCGCTTCCCATTTCCAGCACAGGAGCGTTTCAGCGTCTTGCTGTTCTCACCTGTGTCATGGGAGGTAAGCCCCAAAAAACCTCTGTGGTGGAAGGGACATCTGACATGCAGATGAGGTGGCCTGGATGTAAATGTCAGCTCTGTTATGTGGTCTATTGTGAGTGCTAGAGGTTATGGATGAGAAAATCTTTAACATTGAGTTGAAACATACTGAAGATGCCAAGAATGTTGAATTATCTATTATTAGTTAATTCTACTTGTCCATTATTTTCTGGAGCTAGATGAAGAATGGGGGTGATAACCACTGAAGAAAAAGAATATTTTTTGCACTACTCACATTATTTTTTAAACTCAGTGCCATATTGTGATACTCTTCATCCGTAGTTCAGAGATATTTTTAAGATTATGTCTTTGATTTTGTGATATTATGAGTACCTGTTACAATTAACATTTTATAAATTCTCGTTATATCATCCTTGTAGTATATTGACATACAGACAATTCTTCAGAGTGCAGAGTTTATAATTGATACTTTGGGAATTAAACATTTTTTATAACATTCGTAATAATTAGTAATGCAAATTAATTTCTTCATGTTTATTTGGAAGTGGTCTGAGGATAATATTTGTATTTAAAAGAAATGTAGTAATTGATACTGGAGAAAATTACATAATAAGAAGCCTCACAACTTGTACCTTTCACATAATTTTATCGAAGTGATAAAGATGGTTGAGACAGGCAGGATATGTAGCATGTGTGCATAAGGGAGACAAGTGCATGCAGCATTTTGTTTGGAATAATTTAAGGCTTGAGAGATTTAGGCATAGAAGATAATATGGAAGTGGATATCAGAGGAATAGGTTGTAAAGAACCGGACTGAACTGGCTCAATAGAGGTCCCAGAAGGTAGCACCTGTGGTGACAGTGATGAATCTTTGGGGTCCTTAATAGCAGTAAATTCTTTGTCGAGCTGGATGACTACCTTGTGCTCAAGGATGAGCTTCTATCATACAGTTGGTTAATTGAATAGAGAATGATAAATATTCTGTAAAACTGAAACTTTTTACAATATTCAAAGAACTCATGTTAGCAATCTCTCATATTTTTCAGCAGGTTGTAGTATTTTCCTCATTCTCATGATTTGCTTGTATTGTGATTTCAGGTGATCCCCAACACCAAAATGGAACTTGAGGAATGGGAGCATGTGACATGCCTGAAGAATGTGAGTCTGGCATATGAGGGCACCCGAAGCGGACTGAAGGGCTACATTGCTGTTGGTACCAACTACAATTATGGTGAAGATATCACCAGTCGGGGCAGGGTGAGAACATAACAGATACTAACTCAGAGCCTTTGATACAAAGTGATCCTAAAATTTGCACACCACTGTACATGCTTTCTTCCTTTAACCTTGTCCTTTATAATGTTATGAAATTAAATCTCTTTATGTATTTAGAGGATTTCTAAGTGCCTTCTTCCTCTGGGTTGGTATTTTGTCATTTTTATGGTGATCATACCAGACCTCATTGTTTCATCACATCATCACTCATTGCTTCATGGTGATACCAATGTTACACCAAATGCAGTGAAATCCTCTTGGGTGATGAGCCGTGTTAGTATAACATAGCTGATCGCCTGAGAAGACTTCATTGCATTAAGTCACTATGAAAGATTAAAATCTCATCAGGTTATGTGATGTTAAATTGCATGTGAGAATTATTATGAATGATTAATTTGGATGTATATGCGAACAATGGTTCATTGTTCATTTTTTACCTGCATTGGCTGTCATCTTCTCCTGACGTTTCCATCTTTGTGCACCAAAGTGTCTTCTCTTGTAAGATTTGAGCTGTTCACAGCGGTGAGTATGAAGATTTCTGTCTTCTGGGTTGTTACGCTGTGTGGACTGGTCGATGTTAACCAACGTTTCAGAGGTCATACTACCTCCGTCATCAGGGCGATGAATGAGCCTAGAAGACAGAAATCTTCGTGTCTTGTCTTGTCTCTCTCCTGTCATTAACATTTCTCCTCGTCCTACTTTCCTTCACCTTTACCTTCGCCCTCTTCTCAGTTTCCTATCAGTCTTTTACATGTTTCTGTCTTCTCACTCAAGTCAGATTCTTTTGTAGATCCTTATATTTGACATCATCGAGGTGGTACCAGAACCTGGCCAGCCGCTCACCAAAAATCGCTTCAAGATGGTGTACTCAAAGGAGCAGAAGGGGCCTGTCACAGCTATTACACATGTTCTGGGCTTCCTTGTGTCAGCAGTGGGGCAGAAGGTGAGGACTTCTTCATCATCCGTGACTGGGTTTAGCTGTTAATTTTATTATTGCATGACACCTTCCCATAAGACATCAGTAGAAGACGAGCCATTTTCTTTCAAACACGGGAAAGAAAAGTCATATGAACATACAATATTAATTGAAATTACACATGCTTTGTCACTTAATCCATGATTATTTATGCCTCATATACTTTTGTGATATTTTAATCCATGTACATCATTGTATAACAACATTATTTACAGATATATAAATTTTACTGATTTTGTGAAGGTTAGTATTAAATAGTTAAAAATACAAACAGAAATAACTAATCATTGTCATACAGGAGGTCCAGCTGAACACAGGTACTTCTTCCATTAGTTTACCTACTTGAGGTATGACATACATTCAAATAATTTTTATAAAGGGACTAGGTATAGAATTTTCATGGTTGCCATCTTACATTACACACAAAACTGACCTTGTATGAGTATGTTACCAAGACCTGTCACCACATAGAATAACATGTCATTGCATTTTATTCAACCTCATCAGTTCTCTTGGCTGTCTTATTCCTTTGTTGATATAGGGAAGTACAAAGTTTGAATTTGGCATGAAAGATACTGATGCCGAACTTCACGTAAATTGGTCAGTTGGTTTAATATGTGTCAGGAGGACACACATGCAGACATGATTAAACCGTGAACGTCACATTCCCCTTTTCATGAAGAAAAAATATGAGGCAAGTCACATGACAATCCACGTGTTGTTTCTGATGGACAGAGCTCTTTCTCTGGCTGCCTTGGGTTCACCTTCCCAGTCATCATTCCGCTAATGCTCTCACAGACCCTTAGATGTACAACAGATCCGCCACATTGGCACATTATGGTCCCAAGTTCGGTTCTTGCCTCTGAAGACTCCATTGCCATATTTCAGATCTACATCTGGCAGCTAAAGGACAATGATCTGGTGGGCGTGGCATTCATTGATACCAACATATACATACATCAGCTGCTGAGCATCAAGAGCCTGATCCTGGTCGCAGACGTGTACAAGTCAATCAGCCTGCTACGCTTCCAGGAGGAGTACCGTACTCTGTCTCTTGTCAGTAGGGTGGGTAACATATCCTTCCATTATAGGTAGACTTGAACACAGTAAGATTACCCACTTCATGTGTCGTGGGAATTAAGAAATTATATGAAGATGACTGTCTTCTGGCTTGTTGTGCTGTAATCTTGTAGAATTTACCATTGTAGCAAGCACCTCTCAGACTTCAGTAAATTTCTATCAGACTACATGGCGCAACAACCCAGAAGACAGCCATTTTTATACTCATCATCATATTACCATGAGAACCAGAAGTCTCATATATTAAGGAATGGTCACTATGTATAATACAAATATCTAGGTACTCTTCGTGTTTTCTGCCTCCTGTGTTGTGCAGTTAGGACATACAAGGCTCCTCTCTGACAGCCCCGACACACTAATATGCAATTAAACTAAGCATGTCTGCATGCAAATTGATAAGTAATATCTTTAATTGTGTAAAGAGTTGGGGAGTTACCCTCAGTATATCTTGATGGCCAATTTCACAGTACTATCACTGAATTACAGAACATTTTTCCATCTATTTAGAGATGATGGTAACCTTGTCATGCTCTGCTGCAGGATTTCCGCCCATCAGAGGTTTACACTTGTGAGTTTCTGCTGGACAACACACAGATGGGGTTCCTGGTAGCTGATGGGGACAAGAACCTGGTGCTATATATGTACCAACCTGAGTCGCGGGAGAGCTTTGGAGGTAGAATTATCAGCTATCATATTTCATTGCACAGTTCATGCACTTTCACTTTTCATTGTAAAATTAAAGGGGAAAAAATCATATATTACACGCATTCCATTCGTGTGTATTAACCCTTCAGCGTGGAGTGCCGAACATCGCTCGTCATGACGTAGTCATCCCATGGCGTGGAGTGCCGAGCACTGCTCGCATAATGTGCGCTAAGACTTCTCCTTCTTTGTAGCGACTGACCCTGTATTTTATGTATTTTGGATCCAGTAGCCATGTTGAGAAAAATGCTGGCTATCGATTGATATATAACGTGACTCTGACAGATCGATTTTACCAGTGTTTTTTGACTTTGAAATATAGATCGATTTTTGAACTCAACTGCATTCAGCCTCTGCTTTGTGGCTCTCTCTAGGGAAGACAAATGGAGTAATATATTTAAGGTTTCGACGGCTGTGTAGGACACATTCCAACCTTTCTAACGGTATATGATGTCAACGACCTTAGTCAATGCATTCTCTGTTCTCCCCTTGGTAAGAACAGAATTCTATAGTACATATCTGCCGTCAGTCAGCCGTGAATATGGCTTCGAGTAGCAGGCGTTTTTTGTCTCCTCAAGACATTGCTAGAAGTGTAGACGAACCTCTCACTGATTCCGAAAGTAGCGTGTTCGATTCAGATGATGAATCAAGTGTAATCGATGATTTACCTGTTCGTGAATTTCTTACATGTGACGAATCAGAAAATGAATACAATGACGGTGAACAAAGTGGGAGCAGTTTACCGAGTGTGACACGTCCTATTGCTTTTACATGGGAGAACATGAACCTCTCACTTTTAAGGTAAATTTTTTACCTTTCTATAAAGCATAGTGTGTTGTGAACATTTTGTTCAAAGTTTCACTAAAATTCATCAATTATTAGGGAAGTTGTGCCCATATAAGTAAAATGATGCACTTTCAGCTCAAAATTAAATCCCCAAGCAGAAACTCCTCCCACAGCACGGTATAGACTTGGGATTTAAATGCTCCCACGCTGAAGGGTTAAAGACGGCAGTGAATATACTGGCATTAGAATCTTCAAGGATTAGAAGCAGTTATAAAGGAAGCCCAAAGTGAGCAGGATACTGAGTGGCCAGGCGGGAACAAATAAAATGATTTGGTAAGAATAATTCTCTGTCATTGCTACAAGTCTTGTGATCTGTGGCATGATGATGCGGCCATGCAGGGTGAGATGAGACCTTGGATGAGATGGGTGCATCATGATGAAACATGACTGATGTGACATATGAAGCTTGAGTTCATATATTAAAAAAAAAAGAAAAAAAGAAATGGCATTCCTTATTCTAATAAAGATTTCTTAATGATGTTTAACTTAGTAGTTTAAAAATACTTTGTTTCACTATTCAAAAATGGTCTTAATGTCACATAGTGTTCCATATTTGTATACAAATTATATATAATAATATGTTACATCTTGGATATACAGAATGATAATTTATTTTCTAAACCAGGGGTGGCCAACCCAAATGATCTTTCGGGCCACTTTGGAAATGCATCATAACTCCGCGGGCCACATATAAAATTATAGACATTTTTTTGGAGTGAAAAATTGAAACATAATGAGTTATTATTATTGTGTTTACTATTATTCATTATAAAATAAATATATTTTGTAAAAGTGTGATGAATCTCGCGGGCCGGAAAAATGTTCAAGGCGGGCCACATGCGGGCCGCGGGTTGGCCACCCCTGTTCTAAACTAAAAAGCCTTTGTTTTATTTTAAAGGTTTTGATGATGGTCTGTTAGACTTGGGATTACAAAATTCTTGGACTTTTTCCATTGTCTGGTGTTCAAAATAGCAAAGTTTTTCAGAAACTAGATCTGCTTCTTATCTCGGGTGAAAAGGGAAGGGGCACCTACTTAGTTGGGTCCATTCTTATATGTTGAAAATTGGTGGTATTTTGAAGAAGAAAGTACATAAAATTCTTATCTGTGAATTCTCATTAACTAGCATAAATCAGATGCTCAAAATTAGATAATTTCCTGCATTTTAATGTTGATTGACAGTCAGCAAAACTATATATTTGTAATAATCAGGCAGGCTTTGGTTGCGTCCATTCATCTTGCTGTCAGAATATAAATTATTATACATATACAGTGCTTACATACTTATGAGCATCGTTAAATAGTGAAACGTTTTTTAGTTAAGTACAGGAGCATCATTACAACTTCATTAGAATAATGAATGCCATTTTTTTAATCTTTGAACTTTTAAATATAGCGTGTTCTCCTTTAAAACAATAAGGTTAATATTCTACATTACTTGCATTCTAAGAAGTGAGTGGATGTTACCCCTGATGATTACCTGGTAAACGGTCGAAACATGATGGTTATATGGCAAATGGAACTTCTATTTGTGTTGTAATTTTTATGGAAATAATTATATGGCTCATACATATCACAGTGGTATGCATCCATATGTGAAAATATGGTTTGAATTGGTTAAAAGTCAGTGACAGGTTTTGGTGTCAGCGAGTTAATTTGTTTGGTTGTGTGTTTTAAGGGCAGAGTTGTTGGATTTTGTATAAAGTTCTGCTAAACCCACAGAGGTTTACAGTCCTGTAGCAGGCAAGTGAGAAGAAGAGATGTCTTTGCTTTCTGAAAAGCATTGTGGTGTAATGGTGACCACTGATAAGGAGACATTCCATTCATTGTCAGTTAGTTGTAGCCACTCTATGCAAACTCCAGGTCACGATCCTGGATATAGTTTATACAGAACTCGTTACGTTGTCTTGCGTCAGGTCAACGACTGCTCCGGAAGGCTGACTTCCACCTTGGTCAACACATAAACACATTCTTCAGGATACGATGTAAATTGAGTGAGAACTTTACTGAAAAGAAACACCTCCAGGGAGCTGAGAAGAGGCACATCACCATGTTCGGTATGTATGTCACAGAATCAGACACACCATGAAGACAGCTGTCTTCTGTATCATGTAATGTGGTAGAGGTTTATCGATGTTTCAGGGGTACTTGCTGCCTCCATCATTAGGGTGATGCACGCCTCTGAAAGACTGGATATCGTGTGTACTTGATTATTGTCGTCTGTCTGGCATGACACAATCAATGTGACTGTGTTTTCACATCAGGCAATTATGTTTATGAATTATGTGGTGTGGAAACATACTTTTGACAGGTGGATTTCTTGATGTGGCAATTTTTTTTTACTCTAGCCCTATTATCATTACTAGTTATGTGGAAACTTTTATTTATAGTCATTAGTTTGAAAATGTCTTCCCTCCCCACATCTGCAGTTAAATTTCCCAACAGCATTTGTATGTAATACTTCATGAATTGATCCTCATAAAAGCTGTTTTTATCATCGTAGTTATTCTCTGTTAGTGCATGCACATTCAGAACAATATCACACCAATGTCCTCTTTGCAATATATATGACAAAACTTTACCCTCCCAACTACTAATATGATTCCTTTATTTCCTCTACACCCTCTAAATCTGATTGATATTTTCCTAATCCTCTTCATGCTGTTTTCAATGAACCTGATCTATAGAGACTCCTGACATTCCACGATCCAAATCTCATGTTCATTTTCTGTTGCTGAAGTCATGCCAGTTGGATTTGCATATTTTCAGCGCCTGTGGTTTTCCTCAGTCTGCATAGGTGAATAAGCCATGATGTCCTCATTCCAAATTCTTGCCTACTCCCATTCATCATTGTCTTACCACCTCATTCAACAGCATAGCCTCTGCAGGATTTTAAGTAATATTAGAATAAATCCAGAATGAATATATTTAATGTCTCTATAACAAACTAAATTTTTTCATAGTTCATTGTGTCGGTTGTCTGTGTAAGTGAGAATTGTGTTGCAGCAACACTGGATGGTGGGCTGGGTTATATCCTGCCGGTCCCAGAGAAGACTTACCGCAGACTCCTCATGTTGCAGAATGTCTTGGTGAATCACATTTCCCATATAGGAGGGCTGAATCCCAAAGCATTCAGGTTAGCTTACTACTGTAGCATGAACTTGGTGACTTGCTGTATTACTATGTAGACATTTTTGATGCATGTTGCCCTAAGTCAACATATTGTCATTGGAATGACAGTTCTTTGTCTTCAGTTGTCACCTTTTAAAAACCATGCATCAACAGTTTTAACCCTTTCACATCATGTGATCGACATCATGCCTCTCTGGTTGTTTATCAGTCATATATCACTATGGCATTGAATTACTGAATGTTTATCTGGCATCTGGTGCACTTAATTTGAATTCCTTGAAAAATAGAACAGGATTATGGGAATTAACCAATTTGGATCATGGCATCAGGTTCTAATGCCCTTCTTGTTTTAAAATGTGGTATTTTATGGAGTTAAGCTCAAGAAGCTGTTGGTGCTATGGTGTATGAAGAGGACGGTGGTCATGAAACTGACAGAAATTGAAGGAAAAATATGAGTGTAAAATAAAATGATGAACCATCAGACAGTGAAAGCAAGACAGATACATTCTGAGTATTGATGGTGGAGAAGTTGTGAACATGTGGGATGGAAAACCCAAAAATGCAAAGAATGATATTCCAAAAACTGGGGTTGCAAAGTGTTGCAGAGTCCATAGCTTATTTTTATTTGTTTTTCATTAAAGGTAATGTATGAAAGTAAAACAGAAATGCAAAAGAAATTTTCTGAACTGCAACTGTACTAGATCAGATTGGAAGTGTTGGTATGAAGTTTATGCCACTGAAATTAAAGGTATTTTTAGGCATAATTATGAACACGAGTTTGATAAAATAGCCTGACATAAAAGACTTACTGGTTCAGCAAATGGGTGACAAAGTTCTGCACACCCTACATACCCTGGCTGCAGAAAACTCTGGTATTATTATGACTGGAAGGGGTAACAATTGTTATAAAACATTTTTGTTTGGCAACGGACTTCTTTATCTGCACTGGTTCTGATCATCCACACCCTTGTTATGTAAGTTTCATAACTAAAAAACTAGTTTATACTTCAAGGGACATAAGTGTGTTTCTAAAAAGAACTTTTATAAGGACTGAAACTTAGAAGTAACCAGATTTTTCATAGATTGGGTGCATGTTCTCTGCAGCTGTAGTCAGCAGCCAGCCATGTTTTCTTAACACATCTTTGAAATTTCTCAATTTTGCTTAACAGAGAAATTTTGTTTAAAAAGATTTTTAGTTGCATTGATCAGATGGATGGTTTCACAGGACGTACAAGAGCGCAACAAAATTACTGAGCAACCCAGCACGCGGCATCATTGATGGGGAGCTGGTTTGGCTTTTCCTTGGTCTCCCAACATCCGAGAAACAGGAGGTGGCCAAGAAAATTGGTACCAAAGTGGATGAGATTGCAGACGACCTTGCAGATATCGAGCGACTCACTGCACATTTCTAGAACTGTTGGGTGTTTGATGTGTGTGTGTATCTGTACAGGTATCATGATCTCTGGTACTCTTGTGATCTGCTGGCGGTATGAAGAAACAGTGCCGGTGCTCATAACATTATTTCATTTCAGGGTTTGAAATCATGTGGAATTTTTTCAGTGGAAGAAATTGCATTGAATATTAATTACATATTCTGGTTTTGAAGTAGTGCTGATTAGACTGCATTTCTGGCTTCTTGAAGCAAACTTCAAGATTCAGGCACAAAAAGTAAGCTGCCTGTTTACTCTCTGTCTTGAACATCTGATTGAGTCAGTGTCTGTAACATCTGTATAATACAGAGTAAGTATAAAAGCCTTTTTTCTTGCACTTGAATTACTTTAACCATGATCTAGAATAAGATGAAACATTTTAGTAATGTTGGCCTATGTAACATCCATTTATTGAAGCATAATTCCACTGTGTAGTCTGGTAGAAATATACCATTGCAATGATGATGGAGGCAGCAAGGACCTCTGAAACACTGTGAACCTTCTACCAGACTACATGGCGCTACAACCCAGAAGACAGCCATCTTCATTCTTTAGTGTATCTGTATTGCTTTAAAGGAACCCTGTTTTGACAACTGTTTGTATGGGAAGATGTCTTAAATGAGTAGATATCAAAGAGTTTATCTTTACTTTCTGTGGTAAATAATACTGTGATACATATGCATTAAAATACCATTTAAGTAATTGTAATTACTTTTGTTAACAGTTTACATGCTATTCCTGTGTTGCTTACTGTTTATAATAATAATAGATACACTAATTTCTTCAGATCACTGGTAAATTTTAAAAAATATGGTTCAGTCCACTAGAAGGTGCTCTGCATACAATATTTAAATAATATAAACAAATAAATAACATGGATGAGCACTTAGATTGAGCTTCTAGTTGTAACTGGTCATGCAGTCTCATGGTTTCGTTTGACAACAGAGTATGTACCTCTGGCATGTGTAATTGCACATATTTTCCTTATCAGCAGGATTGTGAAAGCCAATAATATAGCTCCTCCTACCACTGCCATGACAATACCAATAATCAGCCATAATAGAGGCATGGTTTGTGGTTTGCCTGGAACTACGTGTGAATTGGTGAAGTTCTGATGTACTGTTGTGTGTTGTTGGCCGCTGAGTGTACTTGATACTGGCAGATCTGTAGGCAACCGAGTGTCTTCAGTTGTCCAATTTTCTGTCATTTGAGTTGTTTTTTCAACCTACCAAAATAACAAATCATATTAAATTAACATATAATTGTTTCCCGATGTAATTATCTGACACAGATTGTACTGTGATACTATTTATCGTTTCTGTAATGGTTGCTACTGAACATACCAGAATTTATTTGACACTGAAGGGTGAAACACAGACATGTAGGATCTAATTCTGTACCAAATATCAGAGTTTGGTGATTGGTTGATTTTTGGATTACTTGATGATCCTGAGTCAACTGCATTAGTTACATAGCAATGAGTTGTGTTGTAGCGGCTAGCACTTCTCCGTTGTATTCTATTAATCTCTAATCCACTAGCCTTGTAGTTGTGAAAAATGAAAAATGAATCTTTTTTTATTCAACTAAGGATGTTGTCTAAACCAGCCATTATGTATGATAGTGAAACGTGAGTGCAACAATTCTAGCTGAGGTCCCTCAATATTAGAAGTTAACTGTGAGAGAAAATAACAATTAAAAATATGGAAATGATTACAAATAAAAAATATGGTAAAAGACATTAAACAGTACATATAGCAATGGCTAGACTATGCAGAGCAGATGCGCCGTGAGGAGATGATATGACATGAGCTGCCCAAGGAACAATTTTAATAGCCTCAGAACAGATCTTTGCTGAGTTCTTGTTGTGAAAGAAGCGTTCATGAAAAGTAAGCACAGATAAAATTCAGGTAAAATTATAAACATTTTTGGTTATTTTAATCTTTATATTCATAGCAGACTGGAAGACAAAGTATTCTGAACTTCCTGGTATCAAGAATTCCCAAAATTTAGTCTGCTCTGAAACTTTGATTTCTTACTGTTCACAGATATGTTGTGGATAGGTGATGAAAAGAACATCTTGCAAATCTGTCTTTTTTCCTCAATTTACTCAATGTACTTCCTTCTCATGGCTTAATGAATGAAGATCCAAAGGAAATGATGAAATAAGTGATCCAGTAGTAGACATTCATTGGTCCAACTCATTTGTGATGCACAGCCCATTTGTTACATGGTTTTATACCTGTGGCTTTGCCAACTTTAGAGCTTCTTTGAAGGCTTCAAGTAGGCCCTGAACACCATCTTCATCAGACACACAAACGAACAGACCCCCACTTGCTTTTGCCAATTGCCTCATGTCATCGACTGGTGCCATGTCTCTGTGGGGAACAAACAGTTTATTGTTAACATCAGCCTGTATTAATAATATAAATTATAAAATATGAAATCTTTTTAGAAAAGAGACATCATCATTTCTACCCACCATCTGACTGTTAAGTTTGCTGTGAGTCACTGTTATGTTTACTTCCCAAGACCTTCCGAGCCTTAATGCTAAGTCTTGAGCCGACCAATTGTGACCCGCCCATTGCATTCAAACAACTAAACTACTAGCACATACTAAATGTGGTATACAGTGCTACTTTGCATTTCAAGTTCCACATATCGCTAATAAATACATTTCACCAACGAATTACTGCGCTAGGTAGAGTTCTTTACATTATCAACAGTGCAGTTGTACTGACAAAACAGTAAATGCATACCCAAAGCCAACTGAGATGACCTTAGTTCCAGATTGTACAACATCAGCCTGGACATCACTGATAAACTGGTCCGGCACTGTGTTTTGTCCGTCTGCGACCAGCACCATGGTGCCATTCCTATTCCCCAGCTCCTAACAGTGGACAGAGAAACATTTAAGTAATGGTCAAAAAGTGTTCATAAGCATCTTCCCACAAATAAAATACCTCACCTGAAGGGCAAGTCGCACCCCACATCCAATACAGGTCTCACCTTGACCTTTGGTGGGAACTTTTAGCTCCAGATTCTTTCGTGTTGTGGCATCAACAAGAGTCAGTTTACTCAGGAGGTTTTCATGCGTGCTGCAACAGTTCATATTGACACACATAATAATAACACTGACTTATGTTCCACGGGTCAAGGAATCTCCTTTGGTTCATCACAAAATCCCATCATTGCATCTTGTTTTGAACCACTGCTGTCTGCTTTTCACCATAAACGTATCCCTGTAGTGACTGTGTGTACCACCTACTTTAACATTCAGTAACTTTGCATTTTACCCACAGCATGTATTTATGGGTTTTGTATGAAATATTTGCCTAAAGAGCCTTAACCAATTGATCATTATAATGGAGATGATTTGGGAAGATGGCTGTTTTCTGGGTTCTTGCTGCCTCCATCATCAGGGCGACTCATCGCCTTGATGATGGAGGCATCAAGGACCTCTGAAACGTCTGTAAACTTCTACCAGACTACGTGGCGCAACAACCCAGAAGACGGCCATCTTCAGACTCACTGCCATGGAAATCTCATCCTACATACTTGATAGTTTGTGTTATCTTTTGAGTAGGGACTCAGATTTGAAATATTATGTAAGTGAAGGTTGTGTTTAAAAGATCCAAGGTACATTTTAATATTATTATCTCATTTGGGTCTCGTCCCTTAAAGTTGATCAAAAGATGGGACTTTAAAACAGTTCCATTTGGATGTGTCCTAATACACAGCCTAACTGCGTTGGTTCAACATTACTGGATGGTTTCCATGTCCCTTGTAAATCTAACATTATTATGCTCCCATGATCATACTGCATACTACATAACCACACTGAGTTTCTTACATAAGCCAGAATAGACCAAACATTGCCATGGTAACTGAGCTTGAAACAATTTTGTTTGCGAAGTGTTAGCATGTTTTATTCTCTTTAGTTTATGATTTGCACAATAAATAAAAAGAACATTCTAAACTGCCATTGTCACAGATTTTGAGTTGTAAAAGTGAGGACTAAAATATTAAATTTAAAACCTGTAAGTTATGTGGTATGAATTTTCAAGATCCTTCATTGAAAAGGACTGGTGTTGACCACCTTAAGACTTGCATGGCCACCAAGTACAGATACTCTTCGATATATGCACATTCAGAAAATGTGATTTTATTTTAATTTATTTGGTGCTCTAAACTAATTTGGATCAATTTAAGCTAATAGCACTTGCTTTAATGCAAATTTCTTGCTGGCTGAACAAGTTTGATGGAGGGAAGAGGAAATGTGAGAGAAAATGGATTTTCTTTTCTTGATTTATGCAGTTTAATCCTTTGTGACTTTTCTTTGGAAATTGAGCAGTAACTGTATATGCAGTTTTAGGTAAGGAATTCAAAATAGCATGGCGTGACATTGCATAGTTTTTCATGAAACTTGATGCAGAGTTTATGGGAAACTTGTACAGACGAACGTTTATTACAGTGGACTCAAGAATACACAATTTTGAAATGTAATCTTTGTGATTTTGTATACCTCATTGGCCATCATGCCGATCAATTGGCAATAAAAGTATACTTTTGTTAAGCTGAGGGCAATGCATGGTACCATACTGGAAACGAGTAAAATTTGTAGACCTGGTGATACCTTTTTTATACGAGCCATCTTTAATAAACATAATAATATTAAATTTGAATTTCTCATAAAATATGAGTTATACTAGACAGTAAATTAAATTTTTCCCATTAACTTTTAATGTAGGTGGAAATACCAAATTTCACTGAAATATCTTGATAGATGAAACATACACACAACATGTGTAGATGAAGCCACAGTTCTTTATTTGTGTTAACTTTATCTTTTTTTTCCCCAAAGAACACATAAAATAAAGACATGTTACACACTGCAGCATGAGGGACCTGCAACATCATCCTCGCAAACATGGCTACAAATTTACCAAAATGCTGCTTTATTGTAACAAATCAGAATATGTGATCCTTACGAAAATTCCACCATTCCCAGCAGAAGTCCATTTGGAATGTTGTGAATGAATTTCTGCAGAGCATTGCCTAATTTCTTGATTCTGTCCTGCAAAGAGACATGCAGAGACACATTGATGTTATTACGGCACCAAAAATGATTCCATGTACTACAAGGCAAGTTAGAAACTCGTTAACAAGTATTTGTTTCACCATGTTTAACCTAAGTTCATAAAAACAAAGTTCCCAATTTGTTAATAATTTCAGCTGTTACCATTGGCTGTTTACTTGACCAATTATTTAAAAATTAATTCCTAAATTCTGAGGTTCAGGTGTTAATGATCTAAGCTTTTACCAACTTTGAACTGGCATAAAGAAATGTAAAATATTGTGAAGAAAGCAGTTCTTAGTGAGTACATATGCAAAATATGAGCATCCTTTACAACTGACTGTATTTGTAAAGCATACAAAATGTATAAAAGATTATTTATACAAAATTTGTAGGTGTGTCACCAGTTATCATCAGACAGAATTAAATTCCGATTCTGCTACATTTTATTTTGCACCAAGTAAGCTAAGAGTTTTGAGAGATCCTTCAATGTACAAATTTTCTAGACTTTACATTAGACAGTGTTATCTCACCATTTAAGTTCATGCTATTATGTCAACAGTATCAATGACATAAAATCCATTCAAATTTTCATGAGTTCCAGCCATTTGGCTCACAGTAATTAGTACTGAAACTGGACACTGTGCAGGACATAGCAGCACTCATCTTATAGAAATACACACCTTATACTCCATTGATGCAGATACGTCAAGTGTTAAAACTATAGATGGAGATGATGTATCCTTTAACTGCAGCACAACAGGATTCAATTTGGATGAGTCTATGTTGATACCTAATTTCCTTGAATTGAAGTTGCACACAGTGGTCCCCAAACACCAAAAGACTAGGATGTAGCGTGATGCAAGCCACATTCTGTCAAGATGGCAGTTCAGAATGTGAGCATAAGATGTATAATTTTGTTATGAGAGTCATAGAAATGTCAGTATCTCTGTAAACTGCATTTGCAGTTTATTTAACAAGCAAGTAATAATATTTCCTGTTTAAATTGTGTACAGACTTAAGTACATGAAAGTAACTGGAGTCTGTGTAACCTTTAGTGCACAGTTAAATGTGCTTTGAGACTGATGTTACGGAATTGAACTGTACTGTTAACATGCCTTCAAAGTAAATAATGTGAAATACCTAGATAAGATAAAAATAGAGTGAATCATACCTGCAGTGAACAAGAATCATAAACTCACCCATGTGTTATCATCGTGTAATCAGATCGCAGTGCACTGATGACCTCATAGCAACATTTTTTTTTCAATTAAAATAAATGTGTTACAACTTTTGGAAGAATCTTAATAGGAGTTTGGAAACTGATTTGAAAATAATATATTTAAACAATTTTCAGACATGTGAAATACCCATTAAAATTATAATTTTTTAAAATGTTATAAATTATCATCATATGATGGTTCAATTCAAATAATTAGGATTTGACGTTCTCACAGCGGTGAGTACAAAGATGGCTCGCTTCTCGGTTGTAGCTCCATGTAGTCTGGTAGAAGTTTACCAGTGTTTCTCAGGTCCTTGTTGCCTCCATCATCAGGGTGATGAGAAGGCCACGTGACCAAGAAGCAAACTAAGGGCCAAGTTTTGCACAAGCACAAGGTATTGTTCTTCGATAGACTACACCATTAATTTGTATGAAACATATTGCTGCAAATGGCAAACAGTGCCTTAAAACTATAATGGGAATGTACTCACACTAAATGGAATTTTGTCATGGAGGAAGGCCTTGATGTTTCCAAACTGAGGGCTATTGCTGCTGGTGGGAGAATATCCCATCAGGCAGCTTGTCCTTTTTAAAAAGGATTTGGGTTGAATGGCTGTCTGGGAATTGAACCCAGAAGTGTTGGGATCACTGTGTTCAAAGTCCTTTGGGGAAAATCACTTCAGCTGAAGGCCTCCATGGTTGTAGGAGGGCCATACCCCTTTACAATTATAACCTGGCATTCACCTTGCATCTGAGAAAAATCACGGGGAACATTCGATTAGTTAGACCACTCGTTGCACCGAATTGACCCTATTCTTAGGGACAGCATCGGCTGGCCCTGAACATCAGCCCCGCTCGGTTGCCTGTGAATGACCTTGGTCGGCACAAGTGCTTTCAAGTTGCCGATGAAAGGGATTTGCCTTACTGTATTGAGAAACTGCATTGCTCTGGGCTTTTGGATGCGTATTGCGGCATTAATAATAAGAAAAGCAGTACTCATCTCAGGAGTTGAAAGATACCGCCGAAGTATGTAGTCAGCGCTCCAGTCGACGAGAGCTCGTCATACGCGTATTGCGCAAGCTCGCGGAATCCGCAGCAGTAGGCATTACGTTTTCGTACTCACATTGTACACTGGTCGACACAGCCCGCGTGCTATGATCGTGTGGATTTGGCTGTCGGAAGATGGTTGGAACGTTCGGTGGTTAAAGGACAAGGCTTTGCTTTCACCAGCTTCAATGGGATAAAGAATACCGCTTCTCGTCAATCTTTCTGTTGCTTGTTGCAAGAAAAGCGGACAAGCTGCAACGTCTTTCTGCACCTCCATCAAAGACTAAACTGCTGATCACGGAAGAGCCCACGATGATTTAACTGCAGGAGGACCCAAGTGAGTAGATTATTCTCCAACAACTTGTGTTTAAATATTGGCCTAATTTGGTTCTTTAGAAGGTAATGTTCCATTTTTTACAGACTTTGAAAGATGAAGGGAAATTAAGACAGACTTCTATACTCTGCATTTACTTTTTACAGGGTTAAATTAGTGAGTTATATTTAGGTGAGGTTGGTTAATCTGTTTGGGTTTTAGTAACACATTGGCTATTATAAGCGTGACCGGTAATTGTCATAAGAATTAAATCAGTACCATGACAGTCATCGGTGGATCACTGCCCATACTGTAGAGTTGTTGATTTGTTTAGGGTCAAAAGACGAAATCTACTTGGAAACCAATGTTGGATTACATTAGTGCTTTGATTAGAGTTTCAGTATTGTACAATAATATGGTTTTATTAGGGCACATTAATTTTATTATGTTGTGTTAGGTTAGCAGTTTGGTTAAAATCTTAGTATGATACAGCAATATAAGGTCATACGTGAAATTGCACGTGGCTGAAATGGTTTATCATACGTTTAGCATTGGTGTGGTTTAGTTGTGGTATAGATAGCAAAAGTATATTAGACACCTGCGTCATGTTATAAACAGGATGTGTATCTGATAGGGCCACTCCCGTTTCCGAGTGCAGCACGGAATAAGATGGAAAATCAGTTAACAGAATTCTGAATTTACAATGAATATAATACGAACAGAAAGGATAGTAATACATAGTGAACAAATATATACAGGAAAATGGCTAGGGAGCACAAAACATGCTTTTACGAATCACCTCCCCCCCCCCCCAAAAAAAAAAAAAAAAAA